AAACTCTCAAAGGTTGGATAAAAAACTCAAAACATCTTTTTTGAAATATTTTTTAATCATACTTCCAGAGTTTTTTGTACACTTTAAGAGTTAAACTTTAGAATGAAAAAGTAAAAATAGATGATTATGAAAAAGTAAATGATTAAGTAATGAGCAATGTGAACTGTTTTCTGGAATAAATACATGAATGAATTAAATAATTCTGAAGTCTAAAGACAGTGCAGAATAGCTTTGATAAACAAATTTTTGTTTAATTCTTGAAACTTCTTTCAGGTTTCAAATTTCAGTATCCTGGTGGTAATCGCGGAGCTGAAAAGATTCGTTGATATTTTAATGAAGAAAAGGAAAAGATTTGTTCTGATTTTGAGCTACTAATTTTAATTTACTTCATTTTTGAAAAATTTTCAATTATTCCATTTTTGCAATTCCCAGTGTTATTGATATGAAAAAAGAAATTTACCCTAAACAATCAAAATAGAAAACTGTTTACCAGGACAGTGGTCACAACTGCCTCGTTGACCATCTTCACCTGGGGGACCCGCAGATCCACGCAATCCTTGCTTTCCTTCCAATCCATTCTTACCATCATTACCTGGTTCACCAGGTGGACCTGGATAGGAGATGCCATCAACACCAGGTACACCTTTCGGACCTAGATCACCGAACTCACCTCTTGGTCCATCTGGACCAAGAGGTCCTGGTATATGGATTAATCGTCCTGGTACACCACGCGTACCTGGTTTTCCCGGCTGTCCTGGACGACCCTTAGGACCTGCTTGTCCAGCTAGCCCCTGAAGCGAAATTTCAATTTTTTCTTCTTTACTAAGTGTACAGCAATTTTAAAATATTTAACTGATGAATAATTACGAATAATATTGACTGTATATTTCAGAGAAATATAAAGTAACCTCTTCACCGTTTTCGCCATCATTTCCGCGATTGCCAGGTCCTCCTTTAGGACCTGGAGGTCCTTTGGGTCCTATAGGACCAGGATGTCCTCGAGGACCTGGTGGACAAACCATACACAGTTCTTGCTCTTCCATATTCTTGTTTAATAAAAATGAAGAAATTTTCGAGTCTTTCCCTGGTTTTCCGTTTCTACCTGGGTATCCATCCATACCCCTTTTTCCTTTTTCACCTTCTGGACCAGCAGGTCCTGCAGCACCCTGTAACTATTGTGAAAATAATTTTTGGAATCATTTGGACTTTTTAGATGAAAATTTAAATAATTCTTTTTTTTAAAAGTAATGAGCTATTTATAAAGAATATATTATATATATCTAATGGAAGAAAATTCATTTTAACAAGTTATGCAATCAATGAATGAAATAAATTGAATCTCTAAGAAATTTACTATCATTTCTCTTGCATTTTCAAATTATCAAGTTGATAAACGAAGAGATAAATAAAGAGATTAAGTGATTCTATCTCTTTAGTTGCAGAATTTCAAGCTGACAATTTTGATAATTTTAGTTTTTTCTGATACACATCTTAACGATTCATTAAACATTTAGAAATAGTTTGGAGAATTATAAATTAATCATTTTCAGTTACTTCAACCATTTTCTTACTTACCAAAATAAAAAAAAATTGAAACTTAATGATTCACCCTGTGACATGTGCAGCACTGCCCATAGTAATTACCATTTAGCAGCGGATCTATTGGTACTGAACCGTAATTATTGCTACTTTCACCATTGTTGGAACCATCACCATTACCAGTATCTCCGTGAAAATTACCCGACGACATCCATTTACCAAATGACCATTCCCTTTTAATCCGACTAAAAAGCTTCTTGCCAATTTGAAGTGCTGTAATTTCGGACCACATATCACTTGATCGAGACTATAAATATGCTATGAACATTGCTAATGTCAACATCTGTGTCCTTTCTCAGTATTAGTTTCTCTAATCTAATTTCAACATTGTTTTAAATCTCCTAAAAACATTTAAAACCTTCTTATTTAGCGCTTCATCAAGCTTTAAATTTTAGTCGCTAATATTGTTATAGAATTTACTCATTCATATTTTAAGGAATAAAAATGTTTTCTAACTCATGAAATGGTCTCTGTTTTCTCTTCACTTGCCTTAGTCATTAATTTTATATATTTTTTTAGAGTTTTGAGAGAAAATAGCTTTGTTACTGAAAATTTTTCATTGATGAAATTTTTACCTTGCAGAAATGAGTCTCAAGCAACAAATGATTTTCTAATGTCTGAATGAAACCATAAAGCATCGGTAAAGTAATAACTGCTGAGATGACGGCAGCCGTTGAAACAACAACCGCAAGGAATGCGATCCGTCGCATCTGACGATATTCGTTATGTTCCAAATCTTTCCGCATCTCCCACGCCATTCAATGAGTAAATCAAGTTTGGCGCAAAGTTTAAGGCTTTGGTTCTGTTCCTGAACGGATGACAAATTATTCTATTTTTTCTTCTTCTCAGACAAAATTTCAAAAAGATTTACAAGATCCAGCAAAAATTGCTGAGATTTGAAAATTACCAATATTTGCAAAAAAGGTATAAAAACTACTCAGAAAAAAAAAATAGAATTGAGAATTACTAATAATAGACATTTACCAAATATGTTATTAGGTTAGATTTTATCAAGGTTTTAAGCATTTTAAATGTAATTGTAATTATTCAGATGGAACTAAAGGAGATGAAAAAGACAAAGGCGCTTTTGGAAAACTTCACTTTATAAAAATTCTTGTGAAAGCAACCATTTGAAAAAACAATTGGTATGAAAGGAATAACAGTGAAAAACAGTACTGATGCGGAGCACAAGTAGGTGGACATAAGGGTCAACGATACTTTCAGGTCAAATGTTATCTTTTGTTTTTTATTTTATGTTCCTTTTTTTCTTAATTAGAATTTAAATTGTGTCACACAGGTCTCAATTTCGTATCCCACTGCATTAGATCAACTGATCAACCAATGTACGCTCATTCCATCTTCACAAAGTAGAAATTAAGAGTAAGAGAAGACAAATTGCAAGAGCGACCTACTTTGGTACTCTTAAAAAAATAAATGAACAACGTATTTCCATGATATCACTGCACAAATAAACTTTATGAGGAGAGTTCCATATCTTCAGTTTAATCCGAAACAGTGAATGAAATTAGTTTGATTTAGCTGTTAATACGGTACAATCTGTTGTAGTTGTAAGAAATTTATGTCATAAAGTCTTAAATATCTCACCTATTTCAGAAATTTTCATCTAATAACAATTTTCAGAAATTCAACGTTATTTGAAGAACTATATTTGGCTTTATGATTGAAACGAAATATGGAAGAGCTTTCAGCAAAATTAATCTTTGTTCATTTCGAAAATTTGAATAAAGTAGCAAATTATTCAAATATTTTAATGCAAAATTTCATTATTATCCAATTTTTTTCTCAAAAAATCTTTCGTTTTCACATGAGCAAATTGCTGTCTTTGACTGCATTGTAATTAGTACACTGTCGCCAAAATAATTTCATGACAGTGTCTGTGTTCAAACAATTAAAAATCTTCCAGATCAATGACAAATGCTCACTGTAAATTGATATAAGATCCCATCTCAAAAGAAGCAAATTTCTTAACTGGCTAATTTCAATGAATATTTAATGAAATTGTTTACTAGTTATCAATTATTTAGAATAACAAGAGGTATAATGAATAATATTCAAAGAAAAAACACTGCTCCTCAAAATAAAAAGATCCACTCAAAAATATTACTTAAAATAAAAAGATCAGTGCAGACCTAATTTATTAATATGCTCCATTACAATACAATATCGAGGTCAATCAATCTGAACTTTACTGATATTTCATCACCTGGCTAAACCTGCAACGCTTAGCAACAGTCAACAAGAAGATTATTTCCAAATAAAATCTCGAGATTCTTTGGATATTTGAATATGTAGAATTGCTCATTGTCATAGTCCATGACTATATTAAACGTACGTACAGCATTCACATTCTTGCCAGTTACACATGAAATTTCTCAGATTCTAGTATCACAATCATAGGAACATTTCTGACACTTTTTCTCCAGTATTTCTCATAAACGGATCTCACTAAGTAGGTTTCAGGAATTCTGATGTGTTTTTCTTCTATGATATGATCTGCCTTTTCTATGACCAATGTTCATGGATTCGATGTCTCAAGTTGAGGTGACATTCACTTCGATAATTTCAGTTCAACCTAAACTTTTGAATTCATATTATCTTACCATCTTAGGAAACGGTTTCAATTTGTTGCATTTAGATGTTAAAGAAAATTAATGTATCTTGTGGAGAGGCTCTTCGGAATTCCCAACATATCCATGGGGTGCGATAAAATCTTGTTTCAAATACTATGCGGAGGGTGGGTGTCTTTGATACCATACAATACAATAGGCGAGAGAATAGTAATATAAACCAAATGGAAGAAATGAAATTTGTAACAGAATAAAATGTCCGCTCAGAGGTTAGCAACAGTATCGGATAGTTATCCCAACAAACACAATGGGTAACATTTTGTCATTAAGGAAGTAGAAAGGACGGAAGGTGCTATTAATGACTCCTTTTACTAATTCTAATCTTTTGATATTCTTTCTGATCTGACCTCAATTAATGAATATTTCTTCCCAACATCATACTTTATTTAAATATTATAAATGTTATAACTTGAATTTTTATCCATTTTATTGCAATTGAACAAATTAGCTTCATAAACTTGTTAAATCTCGTTCTTTCTATCATCATTCAATCTTAACTTTTGGCCACATTTGGTCATTCTGGCCTTACTAGATTTGTGTTATTTAAATTTGCTGTTAGAATCATTCTGGCCTTACTAGATTTTTATTATTTAAATTTACTGTTAGAATCATTCTGCAATTCTTAATAATAAATTAAGCTTATTACAGTGTCATTTTCTATGACTGATTTGGATTGGAAAATGAATTTAAATCGAAGCTAAGAAGGTTCAGTTTTGAATTATTTTTATTTTTATTTTGAGATCAAATTTAATTATGTCGATATCGACAAGGTGTAGGAAGGAAGATTTGGAACAGCAACATTTGCGCCGATTAGCAGTTCTTGCATGTGCATTCTCAACAGCAGCCATTATTGCTGCAGTAATTACTCTACCAACACTGCATTCTTATGTGCAATCACTTCACAGCCACATCACCGATGAAACAGAATACTGCAAGGTGTGAAATTATTTTTTAAATTTTGCAATAACTGGTAAAAAGCACGCCTCCCTACTCCATATTGCATACAGATCTGTATATTAAGAGTATGCATCAATAAGAGTTAATACATCTGAATATTTGAAGTTGCTCTCATTCCTCTGCCGTAAGATTTAGGAACAATTCCACGTGCTCGTATTCGTTACCATGCGAGATTATGTTTCAATTACTTAAAACAATCGTGTTAACCGCTTTGCTGACGAATCACTACTTTTAATCTTTTAGCTCTTTTATAATCACTGATTGATTTAACTATAACATATACGTCGAGAAATGTGTAAGCTTCGTTGTAAAATTATGCAAAAGCTTGCATTCTGAGTAGTAATGGAATTGGAATTGCAGTCACGCTCACGCAATATGCTTGCCGAAATGTCTGGATTGCAATTGGCAAGTATGCGACGTTTAAAGCGAGAATGGATGTTTGGTCATTGGGTGCCAACCAAGGAAAATAGTAATCAAGAGTATGAACATGCCTCTGCTGCTGTGATCAATGCAGATTTGAATACTTGTTGCACTTGCAATCAGGTTAAGTTAAATTTCATTAAATTACAAAATTCTTAAATCACACGAATTCATACCAACGAAGGAGACAAAACACTAAAAGCTCAAAATGAATTATATTTTATGACATTTTCATAATTTAGGGATCAGCAGGACCTGTCGGACCTGAAGGAGATCCTGGCAATGACGGAAAAGATGGAATCAATGGCAAAGATGGGAAAAATGGTGTTGACGGTCACGTAAAACCAGCAGTGCATGCCGATCTTTGTCTCATTTGTCCTCCAGGACGTCCTGGTATATCTGGTAGCATGGGGCCAAAAGGTCCACCAGGACCAAAAGGTACATCAGGAGATCTACCCAAAGATGGAATACGCGGTGAAACGGTACCAATAATAAACTTCCTTTTTCATGAAATGTGATCAATCTATGAAACGTCACAAAAAAAAGGAAAAAAATATTGTTGCCAAAAAATCATACCAGTTAAATAATTTCAAATTTCTTATCATATCGGTTGTTACATCTAAGTGCTGCTTTTTAGGGAACGGTAGGACAACCTGGAGCAATCGGAAAGCCTGGAAGAACTGGACCACCCGGAACTCGAGGAGCGCCGGGTCGTATCATCTACATGACTGGTTCACAAGGACCACCTGGTCTTCAAGGTCCACAAGGGCCACCTGGTCCTAAAGGTATTTCCGGACCAGATGGACAATCCTTTCCGGGACCTCCTGGACTGCCTGGAGAGACGGGACAACCAGGTCCAGAAGGACGGCCTGGAAAAATAGGTCAACGTGGTACCCCAGGCGAACTTGGAGAACGCGGTACATGTAGACACTGTCCAGGTAAGTTTCACCTCATTTGATTTTCTTTAGCGTTTAGTCTTTTTAAATTACCAAAATTTTGTATCATCACAACTGAAAGCTTCTGTAAGTAATAACTGAATTCTGTACTTTTAGTTCCAAGGATGCCTTCTGGATTCTAAATGTACTGAAGCCGTAATCAGCGTCATCGTTGCCAAATTACTAATGGCTGAAACACTCCAACATATTCCTTCTTCTGTAAATATTGTTGGTTTCTCGTGTTATTTGCATCATTATTATTCCAATAAACTGATTATTAAAGATGCTAAGGAAATTGCAGCGACGTCGTTCGAAATAAAAAATGGCATGAATGAATGAGCACTACAGCGGAGCTTTCTTATCAGTAGCTATGGTTGATAATATTCGATGTCTTTAGGTTGGTCCAGAGATTGGTTACAATGAAAGTTTCAAAACTGACCTAATAAGCGATAAAATAATGATCGATAGCATTATTATGTAATAATTATTGCCTAAGGTCGCTACAATTATATTTCCTTATCTTCTACAGGGGATGCCAACCGATTATTCATTCCTGTAATTATTGGCCCATATCTATTTCAGCTCTATTGTTCCGCAGAACACCTATTACTTTGACTTTAATATTTCTAACTAAAAGATTTTACATTCATTAAGCAATTACATACCAAATAACAGTGATATTATGTGATATAAAACTGAAACTATTTCACAGAATGTCATAAAGCATAGCGGGAGAAATTAAGAATTTTACAAAACTGGAATTTACAGAAGAGTTATTTTACTGAACAATTATTTTATATTCATAAACTCATAACATGTATTCTTGAAATAAATAAAAAAAAAACTACCAACTGACAAAACTTATGAAAAAGCAAGCAAGCTTAAAGATTTCGCAATACAAAATCTTCGAAAACATATATGGTGTACACTGACATAGTTTTTTTTTTTAGAAAAATAGAAATATAGAAAAAATAATTCGCAATAATCTTAGCTGTGACTTCACTTTCAATTAAAAATAACTTACCATCAAGAAAATGGTGAGACATATAAAGCTTCTTTGGTGCTCTAGCATAATTATAAAAGTAGTAAAATATAAAATTAAATTTAAAAATTGACCAAAAAATTTAGTATAACATCATATATCTATCTGCTTTCCGCTAAGAATGGTCCAACGCCCACACAACTAAAAAAGATATTCTTGACAACACCATCCAATGGTTCAATCTCGCTGTTCTCTTGGCCATCTATAGATTCGAATAACACCAGATTTTTCTGTTCTTCTTCCACCAAACTTTTCAAATTCCCATACTCAAATGCAGCAGGGTATTTTCCTACTCGTTCTGCAAAATGGTTTGTTTTGGAAAAAAGTTTTCACTATGAAATGTCATGACATAATAAAAATAAATAGTGAGTATTTTCTGCTATACGAATACTTGACAAAAATGACCATTACATACAAAACTTTCCATACAGCAAAATGATTCTAGGCAATTTATAGATATAAAACAAAATTTCTTCTTTGTCGCATTGGTTTGACGACTCAAATTTGCGACATTTCTTACTTCATTAAACTGGGCTTTCTATAATGTCAAACTTAATCTACGCTTGACTTCCTCGCCAAATTTAGTCATAATTTTATTTGTAGCATCATATGGCTTAAGCGTCATGCGCCGTTGAGAATAAAAATGTTCTAGCTATTCATTCGTAAGGTGCGGCGTAGTGAAAAGTGAAATGAGGTTCAGTACATTCTATACCGACTATTTACAAAACCGAAAATTGGATTTGAAGTTTTTTTTTTTTTTTTTTTTTTTTTTTTGTAGTTAAAAATACACAAATGATGAGGCGGAAAATTACATACCTATGAGATCAGATGGTAATTTGCAATACTTATTGACAGCGGCCAGAATTAACGGCACGTTAACAGATTCCAAAAATAAACAGCAATTCGGACCAGCATCAAACGTATAAGCCACTTTCGTGTCTTTACAGTGTCTATTCAGGGCATGAATAAGTTGCATAAGGTACCAAGAATTATCATTCAAGTACTGAAATTAATAAATTTTTTGAATTTTGAATGCTTCACATTACTATTCACTGTAATTATATGTAGAACTCGCTTAAAGTTTTATTCTCTTTTGATTAATTTAATTAAGTGCTTAAAAACTTTGGTGCTAATGACCATAGTTAGAAGAATGATTTTAAATACAAAAATATTCAACTGAAAAAAATGCTCCTTGTATATTTTAGAAGTATATAGTTCTTGATCCAGTTTCGGATTTACAATATATTTAAAATAGATTAAAAATCAATCAATTATTTTTTGAAGGTTACGATTCAAATTAGTCAGGACTTATTCATGCAGTGACAAACTTTAATTCCAGATTTGAAGCCCTTTCTCGACTACCTCTTGATTGTACACCACCTTTGAAACTGCAATTAAAAAAATTTTCAAAAAATACCCTAAGGGATGGCATGGTATCCATACACAGGGCATGTAACTGTCCACTATCCGACATAATTACTTTTGCTAATTGCTCGAAATTCCTGTCACGAAAAGCATTTCTTAACCTGTAATAACACTCTTGTTAAAATGTCTTCAATTAATAAAAATATATCCCAGTCAATCGGAATCGCCCATAAATATTGTTGAGATTTAAGCAACAATAAAGCTTTTCATACCAATGAAAAAATATTCGGAACATACTTCGTTATCTGTTCAGGCACAATATCCATCCTAGCTTGCAATAATTTTGAAGTTTTAACAGTTGATTGCATACCATTAGAACTACTAACTTTCTTTGTACCATGTGACGTTACCAAAATTAGTGACCTCAATGTGGGCCAATAATCTTCTGGGAAAACTGTCTAAAAAGATTTATTTGATGGGTTGGGAATTATAATATATATCACATCTTTCATCTTGAATTATGCATTACTAGCGACTGTTCTTTAAAATCTGCATTCCTAAACAAAAAGAAACCATGAAAAATTATAAAAATTGAAAGAAAAGAAGCAAACTTCACAAATGCAGTCGGTACCATCTTCTGCAGTACCTGCCTTCCAATGTACAAGACCACTTAGGATACTCCGACATGCACTTCCAGAGCCTGAATAGTTATCCAGTCTCAATTCATTTTGTGAACACTTCAAAATCACTATGGCAACCTTAAATTACCAGATATCATTTTAATCAGGATTAAATTCAAAATATTGTTTTAACAAAATTACATAAATATATTTATTCAAAGTACAATTCAGAGATACAATTCAGACTGGAGAAAGAAAACAGCACAGCATGCTTACCCATCCTAGCAACACGAATAATATCGCTAATATTTAACTGGTAAATCTGCCCAAGACCATACGCAATAGCCGCAAAACCAGCCGCTGATGAAGCAAGTCCTGCTTCAATAGGAAAATTTGTTTCGGAGACAACCTGAAATAACCAAATATGAACAATTTATTAAGCTAAAATTCCACCACGGAAGAAAAAAAAAACTTCTTGAAAAATCGTGAGAGCAAATAACATTTGTATGTGTATGGCTGATCGTAATCATAAGAATCTCAATTACAAAAATATGCACTCATATGCCTAAAATAATAAAGATAAAAGTGACTTCAAACTTGCTGAAATAATCATGCTTCTCTGATTTTCCTGCAGTTTCCGATATAATGGAGCGTTTCCGAATTAGCCTCCTTACTTCCTTAAATTAAATTTTCTTTTTTGTTTGTTTCCATAGCAAAAATATTTCAAAGCATTATGAACAATAGGTACAATAAAAATAAACAATCTCACTTTAAAACATCGAAGAAACCCTGGATGCTCTGAAAGACACACATTTGAACCATTGATTGAGACTGAATCTTTCTTAACCGATGCCCCTATTCGTACCCGTGTTTTTGCACACATATCATTGATAGAAAGTGAAATGGAATCATTCAGTGGAAGCATAAGGTCCTGGAAATCGATGAGACGTAAAGGTAACAATTTCTGTTACAAATGCACTACTTATTCTAAATTAATCAATTTTTTAGCCATCTGAAGACTGATTAGTACTGGTGAAAGGATTGCTAATGTTTTTTTGAGACTAAAAACTAGTGAACAGTTTATCTTGAACATTATCGCATTAAAAGATTTGTTTGTAATACCACTTTAAAGAAATACTTCATTTCTTTTGCCCCAATATTTGACCAGTGCGATATTGATTGGTGCTATAACTTTTACTTCCCGTACACGATCACTACTACCATCATTTGAACTCATCGGAATGAAAATTTGCACCTCAATTATACAGTTACACCTTAAACAATAGTATTTATTTAAGAATGAATAAAGATAAAAAAAAGAAAAGAAAAGAAAAAACAAAACAAAGAATGCATCCATAATAAAAAGTACAAATGAAACGACCACCTAACTTCCCTAAGCTCAACCACCGTCTAAAGTTCACCTTTAACCCGTGAGGTTTCTTTCATTTTGCAGACAGTGGCATGCAACGAAGATAAAACATGGAAGAGTTTTGCACAGATATTTTTCAAATAAGAGTGAGCAATGTTGGGGTTACTCGTAGCTGTTCAATTATTGGGCAAACATTTTAGCTTATTAAGTTAGGGGAATGATGAGTAGTCCAGTATTGTGTTAAACTTATTTAGTTTTCATTAATTCCATCTTGAAAGGAGTGAGTCACGTTGCATGCAATTCATCACTTTCATGTACATTTTTGAAATGAATTGATAAGGAATTTCACGTGGAAAATTTGTGGAAAGATGTCATTTGTTACTGATGCAAAGCGTCTATTTGGTACGACAGATCTATATGAAATTTTGAACTTGAAAGGATCGAAGTTAAAACGAAAAGATTACAGCCAAGCAGAAAGTAATTTATTTCGTAATGAATATTTCACATAACTGACCGGATTTGCAGCATTTTGAGCTACTTTTGTTAGGAGTTTCTGTTGAACTATGTAGTGGTTTAATTTATTTTTTGTTATACATTGACATCGAGTTCAAATGATTCAAATAAATAGAAAATTCAGGAAAAAACATTTTTCAAAACTGTTTCATATAAAGTTCATATTTTGTTTTGAGTTCATTTAAATCATACTTTTCATAGTTTCTGAATTTCTTTTAATTAGTTATTTTCAGTTAAAAAGGCATTTTTCAAGCTCTCCTTGCAATTTCATCCTGATCGTTGCAGTAATGAGGTAGAAAAGGTGGAAACAACAGCGAAGTTTCAGATTTTGAATCATGCATACGCTGTTCTTAGCGATAAGCAGAAGAGAGCTATTTATGATGAAATGGGTAAGTACCTTCTTGTTTTTTCATAATACTGTAATTCTCTGTAGTATCATCTTTCATTATAGGAATTACTGATGATGCTGGAGTTTACGCTGATGATGTAGACTGGCTTGCTAGATGGCGAATGATGTTTAAAAAGATAACAAAGGAGGATATCGACAATTTTATTCGAAAATTCAGAGGTTTCAGTATAGTTTTACGTCATCTTTTTCGTTCATCTGCGATGGAACAGTAGACATTAATGAGGTGAAATTAATAGAGATGAAAACGAGTGAAGTTATTTCAATGCAATGGATAATATGAATCTTCCAATTGCAACAACGAAAAATACTTCAGACTCTGGCGAGGAACGTGATGCAGTGAAAGAAGCTTACATAAAGTACAAGGGAGATATGGGAAAAATTCTGAATGATGTTATTGGTGTTACATACGAAGATGAGAGACGTTTGCACAAGATGATAAGTGATATGATTGGATCCGGAGAATTGAAGGCAACGCGATATTTCGTTTCTGAGCCAGAAAAAAGAAAAGCTAAACGTCGTAAAGCAGCACGACGTGAAGCAGAGGTGTGTTTTGCGCTGTTTTCTCTTACCATCGCAAAAAAATGTAGTTCATATTAAATACCACTTTACTATTTTTCTTTAATTTTTTTTTTTTTTTGAGGAAGCAGAGAAGATGTTGAAAGAGGTTCAAAGGAATGAAGGCGCTAAGGATCTCGTAGCTCTCATTCAAAATCGACAGCAAAAGAATATTGCATCGTTTAACGAACTTTGTGATTCCTTAGCTGTAAAATATGCGAAGAAACCGAGAAAAACAAAGTGATGAACATTTATTTTTATCTGAAAAATAAGAGTTTTCTTCTTTCGACTATTTCCTGTCGTGGTTTTCATTTCTGTGGTATAAACATTAGCTATCACTAGACGAATCAAATTAATTCAGTTAATGTTCCCGTAATATTTGGTGTACTGTATATCTGCGCATTTCATCATTGAGCTTGTATTCATATTTTTGAGTTATATGAACCGTATGCTGTTATCGCAGTCATATCGATATTCACTTAGATTAATTAGTAGATTGGTTTCCTTGAGATTTCTTTTCATAATATGTTCTACTTCATTAGAACTGTACATAATGATCATAGATTTTTCTTTGATTTTTTGTTTATCGTATCTTAACATATCTGATTCGGCAGAATTCTGGATGCTGAAATTAAAGGTTTTCATTAAGTTATGCTAAATTGAAGAGATGCGATTGTATAAAAATGGTTTTACGCTCTATAATGAAGATATTTTTCACCTGTTTTTGATCTAATGCTACTTGTTAAAAAAAGAAAGAAGCGAAACTTCTGGGTATCTTTGGCTGACTCAGAAGCATTAAAGTAGGGAAGTGGTCGCAAATAAGTCTTAAAGTTTTGTCGCAAGATGAGATGATGGTAATATATGAGATCGAGTAAAGCTCATTATGTTTGTCCGTTTTACCTCTTTAAGGTTTCCACCTGCACTTATCTATCATTCTGAATTCAAATTATAAGACTGATGGTTTAAATCTTTAGTTTTCCTATCACTGATTGTTGTATAACGATTACTAAATGTCCTACTTCGCATGCATTGCCATAAAGATGCAATATGTTGTCAGGCGTTGATTCTGTCCACTGTATTTTCAGTTGGAGATTGACTAAAATTAATGCTGATTGTATTACTGAACTGCACTCGGTCGTTCTGTTCGAGTGAGAGATCCGTGTTTTGTCGAAATCTTTCGGACGTCTCGATGAATAAATCGGCGATATGTTGGACGAAAAGCTGGTTTTCAAGATTGTATGTGCTGTGGGCTTATTTTTTATTGCACAAGTAGCAGTTTTTTGGGCACAACTACAAAATTTGGATGAAAAGAAATTTATGCTTGTTGCGGAAATCGATACTTTGCTAAGGAAACGAGAAGAGTTGAATAAGAAGATTTGGTTGCAAGAAAAAGAAACCTATCGTATGGAGGATAATTTGCAGCGAATTGATAGTTTGTTAGTTCTGTCCTATTGTTGCGGTATTTCAAGTTTCGAATGAAAGTTTCTAGAATAGGAATTTTTGTGCTACTAGTTTGATATATGATATATTAATTGTGATAAGTCCCTTTTTTCAGTCCTGCATGTTATGAATTTTATTGATTTCGCTTGCAGAGTTCGTGATCGAATACCACTAGCAGAAATGCGGAAAGGTCTTCCATTTATTTATTTTATAACACCAACTTATCGAAGGCCAACTCAGAAAGCTGATCTCATTCGCCTAGCACAAACTTTAGGTATGTTACTGAGATACTTTTTGGAGTTTGATATTTTTTGTAATGTTAAAATTCATTGAACTACTTCAGTGTATGTGCCGAATTTGTACTGGATTGTAGTTGAAGATGCAAATAAAACATCCCCATTTATTACCGAAATCTTCAAAAGATATCGTATTAAATTTGCTCACCTTTATGCGCTTACGCCTCCAGAAAAGAAACCGAGCGAAGTTGATCCGAACTGGAAAATTGCTCGAGGAGTGTTTCAGCGAAATAAAGCTCTCATGTGGTTGAGGTGTTTCATTTTTATTAAGTTTCTTAACTTTTGTAGGTAGTAATGATCCGCTTTCCTGAATGAGTAATTGTTTTAGCTAGAATTCAGTATTTTGAATTCTAATCTTATCCTTTCATTATTTGTTATTTCTTTGCAGAATTTCAAGAGACATCCTTGTATACATAATTTTGAAAAGTGAGGTTATACTTTTTTTTTATTTTAAAATACGGCGTAGATATCATGAATTTTTGAGTTCTTTAGGAATACGTGATAAGAAATAATGTCTTTTTTAAATATTGTTAAATCGTAAACTTTTTTCCGTAGCCTTTGAAAAATTTCTTCGCTTTGGTTTTGTATGTTCTTACTAGTAACTTAGTGAACTCAATCGTTTGGAGCAGTCTCTCACTGGATTATTTGAACATTATATTATTGAAAAGAGGAATTTTAAAAATCTGGATAAACTGTTTTTTAAATCTAAGACACACCGCATTTTAGGGAGAATTTAAGCAGATCGAAAAGAGGAATTGTGTATTTCGGTGATGATGATAATACCTATGATTGGAGATTATTTGATGAAATGCGATCCATAGAAAGAGTGGGTGTGTGGCCAGTCGGCCTCGTTGGTGGTCTAATTGTTGAGACAGCTAGACTTTCAGAAGGTGTTTGTTGCTTTAAATTTATTGCACAGTTGAAGTTTGCTAATTTTGTGCTCCATCTTATTTGTGTGCCTTTATTATTGTTTGGAGTCGTTTTATTTCATGGGATTCTTTGTTTCATTCATCTATTTTTATGATGTTATTAGGATTTTTCCAGGTGGGAATGTATCATTCAATTCATTATGGAAGCCAGAACGGCCATTCCCTATCGACATGGCGGCATTCGCTATCAATTTGTCTCTGGCACTCAATGCTAATGCATTGTTTACATATGATGTACCGCGTGGTTATCAGGTTCTGTATTAATTTATTTTATTTTGTCTGCCGTGCATGTGTTACCACTTGCGAAAATATTCTCTTTTTTTTTAGGAGTCTCATTTTCTTACTACTTTGGGTCTAAATAGAAACGATCTGGAACTGAAAGCTGATGGCTGTACGAAGGTATACGTTTGGCACACCAGAACAGAACGAACTCTACTTTCTCAAAGAGAAAGATTAAAATTTTGGCAAGGATCATTGAATGACATTGAGACCGATGCTGTTTACTGATTACGGGCTATTTGTGTTTCAGATTCAGTTTTCGTCTTATAATTTAGTGTTTCAAGGTTTAAGTATTTTATTATACTTGTTGCTGTGTTATCTTACATAAATTGTTTATGTATTATTTTATAGGATTATCCCATGCTACACCAAGCCTTATGACATTAAATCCATGTTTTTTTACTTTACTGCATTTCATCTATTTTACTTATATTTGATAGCGTTTTACAATTAATTTTTTAATTGTAAAACGTATTTTTAATTTATATATATATAAATTTTCCATGCTTTACCATTTCAGTAAGACTAATTAGTCAATGTACAATCAATGTATTTTCTGTGTAGATTTTTTTTGCGGCTCACATTTTATATCTTTTTCTGTCACACTTCTTTAAATGTTTCTGAGTTTGGCTTTAGTTAATCTTGATTTAATTTTGACGAAAGAAAACGAAAAATGAAGCATTTTTGTAGTTCAAGATCTACTTATGTATCTCTTTTGCCATCAAGTATTAAAATTACTTTTTTGTAATTCGATTCATTTCATTTAATCATTTAATGAGTTATATGTAGTTATTTTACTTGTTTTTGAGTACTTAATTAACTAGTTAATGTGTTTTTAATTTATTTATTTACTCATTGATTTTATTGATTTACTTGTCCATTTGTTTATACATTTATTTATTGGTTGTTTATTTCTTTATTTATCTGTTTGTTTATTCATAAGTTGTATATTTTGAAAATGGTGGATCTAGTCCTGCTGATTTAAATGATACTATTTATTTTTTTGCAAGAAACTTTTATAATAAAATGTTGGTTTTCTTAAGCGATTTGGAATTGGCCCTTCCGCTGTAGTACATTGCAAAATAACGATATTTTCTCTTCCTATATAGAAATGAACTTAACCTTTAAGAAGTGGGGTTTGTGATTTTGTTCGAATAAGTTCTTTGGCAGCCGATTACTTACGTTTGATGATTGTAATTGATTTTTTTAAAACATTTTTTGAATAAAAGGAAGGTATGTTTTGATTCCATAAGTTTTTCATATAGTGTTCCTGGAAAATTCTTGTAAATTTTTGCAGAGTATGGGTGAACGTAAGGGACAGAATTTCTATTATCCGCCGGATTTTGATTATAAAAAACACAGGAGTTTAAACAGTTATCATGGGACACATGCACTGCGAGAACGAGCTGCCAAAATCAAACAAGGGATTCTTATTATACGGTACTTTGCACTTAACTTTTTAAAAAACTATTTTAGAATATTTTTATGTAGGGAGTTAGAAGTCAATGTAAATTATATTAATTCATAACAAAGTAATTTATTTTCCTTGTGGATTTTCTTTATACATTTAGTCGAATTATTTTTTTTCAAATCATTTTGAAATATTTGTATCTTATTTCTTTAATACTCAGTTTTGAAATGCCATTCAATATTTGGTGCCTTGGTTGCAACAACCATGTTGGGATGGGTGTACGATATAATGCTGAAAAGAAAAAAATCGGAATGTATTATACAACACCATTATATGAGTTTCGTATGAAGTGCCACCTATGTGACAACTATTTCGTCATACGCACTGATCCTGAGGTTGTTTTTCTTGAAACCACTTTAAAAATCTTTTAGAATCGGAATATTTCTTGTCGTGAACTCTTCTCCTCTTCGCAACCTTTACCTTTGCGTTAGTTTTGTAGCACTTTGATTATGAACTTGTGGAAGGCTGTCGTCGACAGGAGAAACGGTATGATCCATCTACCATCGATCAGCTTGGAGCTGTTGATCGGGGTTTTAGTAGACAGTTGGAAAGCGATCGAATGTTTCAGGTTTAATTTTTATTTGCCATATTGTATTGATTTAATATATTATGTTTATTTGTAGCTTTCAAATAATATAAAGGACAAGGAGAAATAAAGTATTTTTGCAAACCATTCTCAATTCAAAATTAAGTTTTTCGTAAACAAATTGTACATTCAGGTTGAACATGTAGAACAGGATAAAGAGAAGGCTGCAAGTTTAGCCGATAAAGTTGTTAAATTGGAATGGATTCAGGGAAGAATGCAGGATGATTTTGCTGCTAATCAAGCTTTGAGAAAGTCATTCAAAGTATACATTTTTAAAATTATTACTGTTCCAAATCAATTTCTTCTGTTCTTCTTTATGTTTTATATTCTGTTTGTTTCATTCACTGTGCCGTTCCAGCTTGAAAAAGCTGCTTTGAACGAAGGAAGAGTCAGAGATGAAGACTTGCTAAAGAGGATGTCTTTGAACATCAATTTAGTATCAGAAAACGTTGAAGATAAAAAGCTTGCTGCTACAATTCTACGATATAGAAATATGAAATTTACGTAACAATTTTAATATTGTTTTTCTATTTTAAGGAGTTTAATGGTCTGATCTTATTATAATAAATTGGAAATTTTCTGGATTTATATAGATATAAATAATGAACTTTCTGTGCTGTTTGCAGTAGCTCTGCAGATGAATTTAAAATTGGAATCCGAAAGTTGTGTGATTTTTTTTTTCTTTTTATTATTTTTCCAGTCTAAAAGAACGCTACTATCTTATATTTATTGTACTACTTTTTAGTTCCTGAAGAACAACTTGAATCAAAGCGTAAGGCAATATTGAATAAGCCTATATTTTCAAGTTGTCAACCGTCAACTTCGGCAAAGAATGATATAACGCAAAAGCAATTGCTGTCTATGAAACTTCATAGAAATGAATGCAATGCATTTAATAGTGTATTATCTGTACAGAGCGGACAGGAGCAAATAACAGCCGAGAATCTTGGTATTGTCAAAAGATTAAAATACGAAAATGAACACGATGAAGTAGATGTTGCGAACAAGGTAATAATTTGTACATGCAATACTTTAAAATGGTTTTCGAGATTCGAAGACGAAATATTTGGAAAATTTCCTTATTTACCTTTGGTGTGTTTATTTCGTTTTTTTTGATTTTCTGGTCGAATCATTTCGAAATACTTCAGAGTTTGAAAGATTGTTTTCCTATTAATATAACTTTCTCAGGGGAATCTAGATGATGTCAAGCCTAAATGTGAAGAATTGCTATATCCTGACGAGATGAATTTATCGAACATCAAGGTTGGATTTGTTTCTGTTGTGAAGTCGGATGTATACAGTAAATCTTCAGCATTAGTGGCAGATTACGGTGGTGATAGCTCATCAGATAGCGCTGATTAGAATGCTGAAGTACGGGGAAAGAAGAATTTGATGCTATACAAGTAGGATAAAGAAAAGTTATAATAAACGACTAGCGCTAGTCTGTTTCTTCTTCAGAAATGACAGCATTTCACAGTGATCTTCTGTAACTAATCACACACTACAAAATTATGATTGTTCATTATGGTGGTTTTTATTTTTTATTGTTGTGTTTGCTGAGTGGTTCAGGTAATCATACATAAACGCTGAATTGTAGTTGCTTTATAACCATGTGTATTAAACTGTTAACATACTTTTCTAGCACATTACTACTGCTAGAAAAGTTTAGTGAAGGTACTCAACTCGTCGCACTGGGTTGAGATATGCTTTCAAGAGGGGTTATTCTATTCGTAGCGACGTGGGTATAGGAATTATCATTGGAGATCAAGGAAACGAAAAGATGCTTCAATTCTTAAATTGAATTAAAACCATGAATAAAATGAAGAAACGGGAAAACGATTGTCAAAACTAATTTCGGGAAAGAAAGAAATAAGATGAATGACGGTAGTAACATTTTGCAGATTTGATCAGATTCGCAGGATGGTCTCCATTTATAGGAATAATTTGATAGAGTTTATCAATAAATAAATTACTGCAACCAGTAAGACATTACTGGCACCAAATGATAGCAGACATACAATCATTACTTGCAATTGGTTTTCCGACCATTTCCATCCTGTAATATAATGTGTCTGTAGAATTCAAATCTTGCACGTTTGTTTATGCTTCACTGATAAGCAGTATCTTGATTTTATTCATTTATAATTAGCAACAGTACTATGCGGGAAGGCGCCGATAAGACTGTCACTTGACTGTTATTCGTTCGCCTAAATAAACAGCTTTTCAATAATATTGAAATGTTAAAATGGCGAAGTATCTCACACTTGTTTTACTTGTAATGTTGGAACGGTAGCGTACTCACCTATATCGCACTGCGTACCTAACTGTCTATCAGAAAGTATAAAGGAGGACAGTGGTCAGTCTTACAACTATGATCTTTAATCCTTGACTTTTGATCATCGTTAAATTCGTTTATGGCTGAATCAGACAAATTTTCTAAGAAATTTCTGAGCGAAATGCTAGAGTGAACGGTAACAGTAATTCATTGTTAGGAACAAAATGATAACTTCCCGCTTGTTCAATCTCATTGGAGTTTTTTCTTTCTGTTATCCTAACGGAAATGCAAATATTGAATAAAGTTTAAATAGACTGACACTGCGGCGGAATGAATGATTTTCAAGGATGAAAAGGCTGACAACTAAAGACTAAATGCTTGACAAACATTGCTGACGTCATTGTCAACATAGATGCTCTTCTTTTCTAATTTTAACTCGGACATATTTTACAAGGTTTCATGCCAAACTTTTTGTTCCGGTCATTATGCCACTGATGAGTAATGCATACATCTGATTATTTGTTCTAACTATCATAAGTTTAAAAGAAGTCAAATCTGTTGTGAGAAAGCAACTCACTTAAGTCACAAATTTAATTACGAACATGTTGTCTTCTTTACTAACATGAAACAAACTTTATTTTTGGCGTACCGAATCTAACATTGATGAATTCACGGTATCGTCAAATTTGGCTTTCTTATGTATTCTTTTACATTTCACTGCAAGTTTTGCTAGTATTTGACTCACTAATTTAAACTTAATTTAGTACTTGCATTTCGGTTAGGATAGCAATATTCACCGATCATAGTCGATGAAACTTGAATCGTCTGTTTTGGCTTAAAGATTACCATTTTCTAATAAATAATACTATAGCGTAAATACGTCATATTTAGGCGTTTTGAGTGTTTCTAAAACATTTCTCTTTCATAAATAAACAAATTGATTACTTAAATTCTTTCTCTTCATTGAACGCCAGCTCTGAAAATAACTACGCTACTCAGAGAAATTTCCTGATTTCTGTCATCCTTTATTACTATGTCCCAATGACTTCATGATCATGATAATTTAAATTCTGATATATTTGACCTCCTTACTTTATTATATTTGGTACATTAGAGCAGAATAGATACAAATCATTATTTAGGTATCACTGCGCTCAGTGAATCACGGTACTGCAGGTAAGTGCATCACATTGCTACTACTTCTGTTTACAACCTTATCAAAAGAAGCTCTCACTGTTGTGGTGTTCTTCTTGCTATAGTCGACTTCAGGAAATAAATTTCATTTTTTTTTTCTCCATATGAGGAAAACGCTCACCTGTTCCTCGACTTCAGCTAAGGAACCCATAATTTTTTGTTTTTTTTTCCTGAAATTAATTCACTTTCCTTCTTTTTTTTCTCAACTGGAAATTAATAGCAATTTTTGGAATATGAGAAACAACTTCAATCTTTGCCATAATTTAATGGAGGAACCGAGAAAGAATAAAACTTGAAACAGATAATTAAAATTACTGAAAGAATTGTAAATGCTACTGATTACTGAATTTTTGAAAGTTTTCATTTCTGACTCTCTACTTTCCAAGAGGAAATGACGAAGTGACTCGTTTCAACAGAATTAAACAAGGAAGCAATTACACAGTTGTGTCAACCTATACACTATAGTTCATGTACCGAGTAACCTGTTATGAACTGCATGCTATTTCTTCCGAAATTGAAATTTCAGCTTATCAGAAGTAGTAGCGAACCACTTCTTTTCTTGCTATGCTTTATAAACTTTCCCTTAAAGAAAAAGTGAAAGACCAGAAACTCTGAAGATTTTCAGGATTACACGTGAATATTTCATAGGTAGATATGTATTGTTCACTAACTAACGACAAACTCTCGAAACACTCGGATATTGAAGGAATTCTACTGAGAAAGATCAGCACGGAGAAACAATGTGCGTCTGCTTGGGCAAAGAATTCAAAAGACTTTCAGGATTTCGAGGTAAAGAAAGGATAATGGCAACAACTCACCACGTAACAGTACTAAAACAATGATAAGGACAACCTTGCCAAATATTTATAGGAATTTCTCGCATGCTCTCATCCGGGCTACAAGAAGTGTAATTACTGACCTGAATTTTCTACTTTATCACTACAGGAGTTGTGGTGTGGAGGGCAAACCATTAGTTTCTTAGGGGAATTGAGAGAGGACAAGAAACCCTTATAACTGCGGGTAATCCCAACTTCAAGTCAGCAAGACATCTGTGTGAAGGTGGTACCCGGTAACTCCCAGCTATCCACCTTGACTTTTGGTTAGTGTAAATGACCCGTGTCTTAATAAAGAGAAATTGGAAAGATTCACTTTAAATCTATAAATTTCGGAGCGACTCCAGTCCAGTTTCTGTGACATGACCGTCATGAACAGCATGCAAAGGATGTATGTATGTGTGTGTGTGTACAATGTATGCTTCTAGTCCCTGCAAGCAGGCATGCCACGATGTCATCGCCGTAATCGCTCACCGGACAGTGGAAGGTGACAATCTTGTCAAGCCGTACGTCCCAGCGATGTTGGATGGGAAGTGGTTGTGTATGTATGTCTGTGTCTGTGTGTATGTGGGACAACGCAACAACACCGATCCCTAATTTCTATATGTGCGTACATGTGTGTGTGTGGGCGTGCACGAAGACACATAATGATAGTGTTTGGGTGGAGGATAGTGGTGGTGGTAGGTTGTTGTGGTTGTTGAGAAGGGAAGGGGACGATCCATTTCTGAGGGAGGGTAGTGCCATCGAGGAACTCCCGGGACCCCTCGGAAGAGGTGCAGACGGGAAGTGACCTGCAGAAGGTGCAGAGGAGAGTGCACTGATAGTAGGGAGTGTGCCCCTGCCTAAGACACAACCGATCGATACAGGGGGCGGCTGGACATTCGCCAGCTGCACAGCACCCTTCTCTCCTTGCGTTATTGCTGTCGCGGTGAGTAGCTCGGGGGTCGTCCAGTTTATTTATATTCGGTGTGTGTGTATGTGTGTGTGTGTGTGTAGGTGTGTGTATGTCTGTGGATGGGTTGTTGACATGTGTTTTGCTGGCATATATTTTCACAATTAAATCATCGGTTCGAGGGATGCATGAGAGGCTCTCTGTCTGTGTTGCTAGTAAAACTTCTTCCATTCATTGTTATTAGGTCGATTAATTAAACGCTTATTGCAAAACGATTGTTGCTATCATCTTTTCGTTGTTATTATTATTGTTGTTGTTGTTGTGACGTCTCTCTGCACAGCTAATGTCTTATACAGTTGAGGTATTGAGTCAGTGAGTATGTATATCCTGAAATTTTCTGATTAACATAGGCTTGATTAATCATTCGTTTATTCCACTTATCTTTTCCTAATGATACTTCAGTAGAGTGTATTTGTAGTATTACTCTTCGGTATTGGCCTGGTACTTTAACTAATTCATACCATACAATCTGTGCAGTAAAATGTTTGAAAAAATTTTCCTGATCGCCTCCAAATGTTCTGTGGTTACCTTCAGCTGTTTGGAGTGTTATTTTAATTGTTAATGATTCGACATAAACCATTTCATTCTTCATATTATCCTTTAAGATAAGACAATTAAATTTACTACTGAATTTCTTGCTGACTTCAGTTGAAATCATCAGCACTAGTTGTTTTCCCACTGTGCATTCTTTCGGATGTAATTGTTAGTAAAATATATTTTCAACATTGCTGCAACTCTTCACCTCTTAGTTCTTTTATTCAAGCATTTTACGAAGTCGAAGAAGTTAAATAATTATCTTGGAATATTTATTATTGAATGTAGGTTCATATATGTAAATTGTCATTATACTTAAATTGTCAAACAATCTGATGTTATTTCAGGTTGTGTGAAGATTCTACTGGTTGTTGGTACTATATTAAATTATGTGTCTTTATTCTTCTGCTTCGTTTTATACATTGACAGCAGTCTGAAAAGAAACATCATTTTTGTCTGGAATGTTTGCACAACAGCCAAAGGGGCCACCGTCGAATCGAACCCAAACAACACTAACAAGCCAAAGTGAAGCTGCAGCAAAAGAGAAGTAAGTTTTTTTTTTTCTCGAGTAGTTAAGGAGCATTTAATAAATTCAGTGATTCAGTATCATTTGCCTTATCGTCAGGAATGGATTTCCGTATATGAAGAGCATCGTTTACTGATCAGCTTCATTGTACTGTCTAGAAAATGATCTTTTAAAATGCTGGAGGTCTTGTTTAATTATCGATAGTATTTAGGCTTGCTGGATTTGTGTATGAATATTTGGTGCATAATGGTGCAACGAAAACTGCCGAATCATTCAAAGGAGAAATGTTATCAGTGAGAGATTGCAATTGTTAAATTTTTAGATTTTTACGTTTATTTGAGTTATTAGCCTACTCATTTTCATTTTCGAAAATTTGTCGGAAATCTTGAAACTCTAGTCTGATAAGTGTTTTTGGGAAGAGAAAGAATTATATAAATCAGGTTGATATGAGATAAAAGTTTATAACTGAAGCAGAACTCATTTTTTCTTTCACAATCAAATATGAGATGGAGAAAACCGAAAACATGCGAATTATTTTAGCAAAATAATGCATCGAAGCAAATTAATATTGGCGACGCACCAGGATTTTTGCAGAATTGGTTCTTGTAAGTTTACATGCACTAATTCGAAATTCAATAGAAAAAAGTGAAAATAATTTCATTGTATTTGGGTTTTTATCTTTATCCATCAGTTACGAAAATTATTTGCAGTTTATTTTGGGATTTATACTCAGCAGCTCCGGAGAGGCGAGATACGTGTGAAGCTTCACAAGAAGCTAAAGCTTTTCATGAATACGTAACTTTCTTTCTGATCTTTTTTTAGCTGTCTCTGTTATTGTATATATTTTCGTCATTATAAAAAGTAAAGGCGAAGTGTTATTTGGGTGACGTATGATTGATTTTTATATTTTTCGGTTCTAGGGGTTTATGAATGCAAGTCATGGCGTTCCTCCAGGTCCTGCTGGTACACCAATGATGAATGGTATGCACGGATCTCATCTGGTTGGTTTTCATTTTATTTAGCAAATTGTACCAAGTATTTGTTTGACTTTTTTTTTGTTTGATAGTTGCGCTTATTTCACATGTCTGTTCATCTCTAAATTTCAATTACGCTGTTACAGTTTCCGTCAGCAGCAGCTAGCCCTTTGGGTATGGGACCTGGACCAGGGCCAGATGGACTTATGCCTGCTGGTTATTATCCTCCACGAAGTGGACAACCGGGACCATCAGGCGCAACTAGTCAGTCGTCACCCATTTCAGGTTATATATTAGGATTAGTAACAAAATTTGACCACTTCAATTATATTTCCTGTTTCTTCTTATATTTCTTTTTTTTTTTATATTTCCTGTTATATCATATTTCTATATACTTGTTTAAAATTTATGGTTAACCTAGGGCAAGTCATCCAAAAATTAAATTATTAAATGCATTACAGTGATATTTTAAGGCGTGCCTCCTTCTGGAAGCTTTGCTCCAGTTCCGCCACGGTATGCTATGCCATCAAGGAATGGTCCACCAGGCCCAGGTGCCATGCCACCTGGCGCTGGCTTTCCAGGTGCTGGACCTCCTCATATATTTGGAGAACAAATGCGACCCATGCAACCACAGCGACTACCTCCAAGTGCAGGCCCAATGCGTATGCCAACGGTTTGCTTATATCATTCTACTAAGTGTACTTATGCTATACTGCGAGTTTGAGTTTCCCGCAGTTTGCTTACTTGATCGAAGAGACAATACGAGGCTTTTCAGATTGTTTAGACATCTCTGCACACGTCCTTGATTGTTCATACCCAAAATGTTCCTTTTGTTACCGAATTTCCCTTTTCGAAAGCATTTAAATTTAAATTTTGATAAAGGCATTAACGTTTGAGATAGTTCAAAATAGAAGTATTCTCTTATGAGAGATGAGAAGGATGACCACGGTCATCCTCTTAGTTGTTTGAATATTTTAAAAATAAAAAAATGTATTAAATGATTCACAAATTACATTTCGAATTTTTACTAAATCCATATTTTTAGAATTTTCCGGGAATGCGACCAAACGGTCCAATGCGATATGGCTCTCAAATGTATATGGAGTCTCCAACGGGGACGCCTTTCCCTCCAGTATGTTCATTGTTATTAGATTACTTCGCTTCTTAGGTGCTTATGCTAGTTTGATGATGTATAAGTCGTTCATAAGAATTTTTCTGAATATGGTTTTCGATTCTGGATAATAAAATAAAGAAGGAAATGCTATATAGTTTCCACGACAGTAGTAAAACTGATTTGTTGATTTGTTATTTATAACATTATTCGAGGTTTTATTAATACAACTCGGAATACCTGTATTACTATGTAAGTTATATTTTCTATTTTTAAGAATGCGATGATGCCAAATGGCGCGATATGCTCATCAACTCCTTCAATGATGTCATCACCAGGACCGCAAGGACCAATGCCAACAGGGCCTGATGGACAGGCTGATCCAAGGGGTTACATGATGATGTCAACTGCCTCGAATATACCAGTACGTTATTTTATGCTTTTAATTTAACAAAACACGTTTTCAAGCATCAGTACTAATAAATAAATTCGCTCTATAAGGTGCAGTTTTTTTGTGTGCATCATTGTTTTAATAAAAAGCGGTTGCAGTACGTGATGCATGGTTCTGAGGGCAGTATGACTCCTGGAGCAGGTGGCAGAGGTTCAGCCGGTCCTCCGGGTTCCGGTCCTGAACCACAGGTTGGTTCATTATTGAACGGTGATGAAATGAAACAATCACCTGCTTCTACACATGGTGGACTAAATGGCGGTACACCAAGCACAGCAGGCGGACCAGGTTTGTAGTTTTCCAATATCCCTTCCTGAGCTCGCTTTTTCGTTTCATTTCTGTGTATTTTGACTATGTTTTTATGTTGTTAGGAGGGGAGTTGTTCATTTTTGTTACAGGCCTCATGCACCGTGGCATCTGTTTCAATTTACAACCCTGCACTCAGTATTAACAAAGTGAAAACGGTTCAGTTGCCGCGATTTCCTGATGGCGGCGCGACTGCTCGCAGGACTTGATTTCTCCATTACCCTTCTTTGAGGCGTAGACGGTGTTAACCACTAATCCTCTTCGTTTATTTCACCCATTCCACCTGCTGGTAAGGCTGCGGGTGGTTTTGATTTCCTAACCTTCTCCAATTAGCTATGGCAATTTTTTATGAAAACATGTTTCACGCTTCGAAACTGTCCGTCTGTTATCATTTGCGTGAGTAATCCACATTGGATTTCTTACTAACTTTTTTTGTGAAATACAGGCAGTCAGGCACCAGTGGGTGGTCCAGGCTCAGTAGCAGGGGCCGGAGTTGGTGGTCCTGGTTCGGTACATTCACAGTCTGGTGCACCTCAGAATGCTGTAGCTGGTGGCAGTCAAGGTAATGGACCCGGCAATAGTTCAAATACCAACTCAGGTTCTGGTGGACAAGTAAATGTTAGTTCTCATTTATATATATATAATACCGTTATTTTTGACTTCCTTTAACTGTTAACCTTTATCTCTTGCAATAGTTGTACAATAGTTTGTTTTTGTGAGTATCCTCAGCAGTGAGTCGTATATAAGGAATGAAGAGAATAAATGCGAAGTATGAAGAAAATTTCACAACTTCTTTGAAGTGTAATATGTGAGCAGCCATCTAATTTTTCATTTGTTTAATATTATAAGTAGAATTAATATTTATGATCAACGAACCAGCGTAAAACATATTTTGATAGGTGTTTCCATTGAATAATAGTTATTTCACTGTGAACTTTTTTTCTCATTTTAAGTTTTATTTAATGTATGTAATCCTGTTTATAGGAAGAAGCAAGTGAAATATCGAAAATCAAGCAAAGTTTATTCGATGATTTAAAACATTTTGGTGCAAAGGAAGATAATAATGCTGAAAGTTATTTTTCGTAATGATTTGACTTTCAAAATGAATTTTTTATACATCAGTGGATCTTTCGCAATCTAGAGTTCAAAGCGCTTGTCCGGTTGGATCCCGATAAGAACCACCGAGATTGCTGCTATTCGTATTTCTTTTTTCAAAGTGATCTGATTAGTTTGATTGCTGTCTATAGGCAGTGTTTCTTTAGTGACATAAAAACAAAAAATTAGTATGAACTAACCAGAATATCCATACTTTATCTTGACTAGTCCTGACTAAAGTCTGGCGATCTAGTGCAAAAAGCGTTTTTAAAAGTTTTGTGTGCACTTCATAACAAGTCTTTTGTCTTGGATTTCTTCGCCTTTGTTTATTGTATTGCGCTTCTCTTCAACATTCTGGTTTTCTCTTCATCTGAAAAACGAAAGCAGCGACACATTAGGTGCTCGAAAAAACTTCGAAGACGTAATTTTACGTCCTCTTGACTTTCAGTTCTATCTAGATGCATTACTCCTTTAGTTTTCTTGCATTTTCTTATCCGCCCACAACAATTTAGTTGCTCTTGTCTTTTTTGTCGTACTCTCTCACTATAAAGTTCTTGCGACATATTTTAAACTTACTGACCAGTCAGTTATGCCTGATTTGGGTAGTATATTAATCCTGTTTCGCATAAAAATTGGAAGAAAATTCCTTGCAAATTTTCTCAACTTATACAATTTTAGTTGTCTGTCTCTTAGTTTATTTTCCATATATTTTCTTGCTATTTATCTTCATGCTTCCTATTTATTTGATTACTTTTGGTGGTTTAACTATACTGATTGGGGTTTGCAGAAAATTTGTTTTTCGGGACTTAACTTATTCTTATGGGGATTTATTTTATACTTCTTAATTTCTGACATTTTAAAATTAATGAAATTTCATATACAGCTCTTTTCTGCATACCTGTGCAAGTTGCTTCTATTTATTTCTTAGGTACAGGCGAGTAATTTATTTTCATATTTTTATTGGACCTTGTCTCCTTTTGTGAAATTATTTGGTTTATTCTTTGTGAGATTTATTTAATCACAGGAGGGTGAGTGTTTTGATATATTTGAAGGAGGTTGTAGAAAGCAGCAGCATTGATTATATTTAATAAAATGGTTTTAAGGTCATTTTAAATTTTGACATGTTGTTTGCTAGAACATGAACTCCTACCCAAGTAGCGATAAGATCACCGAAGGGTTGTCGTTAAATAAAATGTTACTGGTAAACTACAATAAATAATTGAACTGATTCACATGTAAAAAAGTCTGAAATTTTCACATTTTCCCTCTCTGAAATAACTTCAGTATTGTATGTAAATTTGTTGAATGTTATTTTTTTTTTTTCTTAATTTTCGAATATTCATGGTTTGTTTGTTTTGTAACGTGCGGTAAACATGTCCATTAATTAATCGCTATGTAATGTTTGACTAACGAATCAATTTTTGTCATTGTTCTATCATCTCCAAACATTGTGAATAATGCTTTCATTGCACAAATCTTGTCTCTTTCGAACCTAACGTCTAATTCTCATATTCTCTACTAAGGTGGCAGATGTAGGAGGCTTTTTATACTTTCATGGATTTTGGGTTTGGAATTGATTCTGATAATTAGAAACTGAAAAAATGACGGTTGGGGAGATTATTTGGCAGCGCTTAATAAAGGTTTGTTAGGAAAAGTTTTTACTTTCTGGGATATTCAAGGTGCAGAGGTTGGTACGGGAGCTTAATAACTGTCGAGTTACGATTTTTGAGGTTTGTAGTGTAGTTTAGTAACAGATGTGGTATAATAACAAATTTGGAGCAGTTTTATTATAGAAAAGTTTATATCTTAGTAGCTTAGTTCAGATAGGAAAAGGTGGATTAATAGAGATGGGGTGATTTTAATATCTTAACTGGAGATCAAGTATGATTAGCATCCCTTATATAACTTATGCATTGTATGCTTCGGTTTCAACTTTTTAAATTATTTTTATGCAAAAAGAAGGCGTCTTCTGTGTGCTTCCTGTAAAAGATTTGTGATGCATTCTTTTTGTTCATAATATCTAAAAATGTCAGCATCATCAGTTTTCAGTGATTATTTAAATCTAAATGTCTCTTGAACATCTGTCCCAAATTCTATGTTTGCTAAAATCTACGTCCATTCACTAATGTATTTCATTGTCTTTTTTCTGCAACATAAAGAACAAACAGTTGTTTCTCACACAGATTTTTGTAGAAATTTGTAAAAAGCTTGATAATGTAGAGGAATAGATCAGAGAAGCTTAAGGGTGTGCACTTCCTTCATATTACCATAAACTGTGTAGGTCAACAGAGGTTTATAGTATTATCATACGAAGGTTCATAATCGGTAAGGATGTGACTTGTTTGCATCCTATTTAAGTAAGCTTTTGTTTGTAACTGGTAACTCTTAACAAACAAAGGTGGTAAACCTGTGCCGGGAACTAACGAGTGGGGAGGGATTTATGCATTCATAGAAGTCACAAGAATGTCCTTCGCCTTTCGTTTCTTAACTTTCAAAATTAATAAGGAATTCCGGGATGATGAAGAAGACATCATGGGTAGATTGCAGGGCACTCTTACGACAAAGCACCCAGGTGTCCACTAAGGTTCAGAAGAGTGCACACGAGTCGAGCTGAGACATGAAAGTTTCATAATGGTTCGTTTGTATTATCATAACGGCTTTTCTTCTCCCTCTTGTTTTTTACGTCGTATTGTTTTGACGTAAATAGTTCGAGTGCTAAAATTTAAAATTAACTTTGCCAAAAATTTTAAATTTCTGAGTTGCAAAATGCCGTCATTGGAAAATAGTTTATGAATTTAATTTGCATCAATCTCAGTTACTTTTTTTTCATCTTAGAATTTTTTCTCTTTAGGCATCCTCTTCTTGCGATCTATGAACATTTTCGCGTTGAGTTATGGCTGTAGCTCCTTCTGTACACCTAGAAGGAAGTATGTTGGGAATGCACATCCACTGATTAAATCAATAAATTGCCATTTTCATTTGAAATTTTAAGGATGTTATCACGGCGTAATATTCATCGATTGTCGAACATTCTACGGCGGTGCTACGCTGCGGTGGAAACCGTACAGAATGTAACGAAAGAAGCGCCTGCAATAAATGTTGACGAACTTCGATTGACTTTTGCATCACCTGTTGAGGTAAATTTGCATCAGTTTGAGCAGTTTATCCTTCTTTCCTTTCTTCCTGACCTTTTTTTGATCTGAAACTGTTAATTTTTGTAATTTGTAAGTAAGTTCAGAAAGTTCCAAACTTATTTTTAATTGTAATAGCCCTGCAGAGGGTTGAAGTTTAGTGAAAAGGTTTAATTTGAGTTGATAGAAAAAATTTTTCCCATATTTTTATATTGCAGGTTTTTTTCAATAATACTGTAGTAAAGCAGGTCGATATTTCTACCTTGAATGGCTCAATTGGTATTTTGCCAAAGCATGTGCCGGTATTGGGGATGCTGAAGCCGGGTGTTGTTCGAGTCGTGGACAAAGATGGTGAATTATGTCAAATTTGAATATCATTGAAAAATTAAATGTACTTGTCTTGCAAATCGTTTATATTTATGAACTGTTCTGTTGCTGTTTTTTTCAGATAAAAGTATTCAATATTTTGCCTCATCTGGTACTCTTTCAATGAATCCAGATGGTTCTTGTCAAGTTTTGGCGGAAGAAGCAATCAGACTTGAGGATATCGATTTAGCGGTATAAATACCTCTGTTTAATTTCTTCACTTTTAATCTGTCAAGATTTCCGTAAAATGTGGTCAAGGTTATTCAGAACTATATTTTATTTGTTATACTTGACTTCAATAATTTGAATTGATAGAGTATAGTTGCAGAAAGCTGAAGAGGAACTAAGTTCAGCACAACGACGTGCTCTAGAGCCGATGGAAGATGACGCTCGAGCTGCAGTGCAAATTGAAATAGAAACATATGAGGCATTGATAAAAGCTGCTCATAGCATCGAAAAGTGATCTGAACGTTTACTACATCTTTTGATTTCTAAGTACTATACATTTCCCTTCGTTTACTCCTTGTAATGAAAGGAACCAAAAAAATTAGATGTTTTTACAAATATATAATGCTTATTTTGGCAAACATGCATAAATTACATTGAAATTGAAATACGAGATAACTCAATACTTTGTGATTCTTTGTTTTAATGACCTTCATAGCTTCTAAAATTCTCCTTTCTTAGATTTTTGGACGTTTGCCATTTAATGCTAGTAACTAAGGTTTGTCCGATTTTCGTTGTTAGGTTATTACTTTTATAGCTTCTGAGGTCTATTTCTAAGTTATTCATTGATTTTTGAGCGTTAACTTTTACAGTGAAATAGATTTGGTAGGCATATTTGGTAGGCCCTCGGATTGAATTCAAGTTAGTTTTAGTTTATTATATGTAATCACAATAAAAATAATGCCGAATCTTAACGGGAGCAAGCATTTAGAGTTTGATGTCGAAAATGTAACGGCGAATTCATTTCATAGTCGGATTGTTATGTAAGATAGACTGCTGTTAATGTTGTTAGGGGATCAGTGAGTACAAATATTAAAGTTAACAGTAATTTAAATTGACAACAAACCATTGTAATTCCCACTAAAAATATTGAATCAATTTAGAGTTTTAATTTGTCCCATTCTTTTTTCTCCAGCTGTAGTGCCGAAATTTTTGCGCTGAATGTGAGGTGCGATTATAGTAGGTTTATACGTTTCATTTTGTTTCTGGTGTGATACATTTATTTTACGCCAATTGCGTAATGATTAGCTTGTATCTAAGAAAGAAGACGTGCTGCCGTTACTATGTTCAACTGAGTTATTGAAAGAGCCTTTTGAAATAGGTATAATCTCTGTATCAAAAAAATGTTTGCGCCTGTTTCTTTTAGATGACCAATACGAAGGTTAAAGCGATCGCCGTAATTTACTTCTTAATATAATATTTCTGGAAATTCTTGAAAAGCAGTCTACTCACTAATGAATGAAGAAAGATCTAAATAGAATCCATTGCTTTGCCTCGTTCAGAAAGCGAGAGGGAGGCGATAGTACGCTTAATTATTGAATTAGGTGAAAGGAATGCTTAAAATCAGCTGAATATCAAACGAAGTATTCATGTGAGGAACAGGTTTTGACAAGCCCCACACATTATCTTGTTTCCTTTTCGCTGCCTAAATCTCATCGGAAGTTAATCAGTTTTGATTCATATAGCACCATTCACTTCCTTTATCATACCCAAAAACAAGATTCACGAAATGTAACATTAATTGCTGCAACACATTTTTAATTTGTGGGTTGCCTTGAAGTCCGGTTAATTTCGTTAATCACAATTTTTTTTTTTTTTCAAATGCTTTTTGATTGTCAACCAAGGGGTTGGTTACATGTTGATATGAGTTAAGACAGATCTTAACTTTCTTCGACATTTATGAACATTCATAATATTAAAAGAAGTAAGAATGTATAGACAGTTTAATGTGACTGATTATTACTTTTTGCAAAGAACTGATTTAAAAATTTAATAAGGTGTTTGAATAATAAGGTAATCAGTATAGTGCACATTTGTATTTCTAACAATTTCCTGTAATTTAATCATTTCCGTTCTACAATAAATTTCACTTAATTAAAAGGTTTAAACAAACAAATTTAGTAATAAATAGTTATTACCTTACAAATTATACGAGAGAATGAAATAAACAAATATGAGTAAAAGAAAAATTTTAGTTTACAATGTGGTGGTAAATTCGTCATCGAACATCTAAATTAGATTCTCCAGTATTTCATTACGTTATTATTAGCTTTTGAGACAATATCACACCATTATTAAAGCATTGTAGTAAAGTAAAGCAAATTTTATCGCAAATAGTGTATTATCTACTGCGACATCTGCTATATGATATTAATGCTTATACTTTTTATATCAAAGTAAACAACGGTGCTGAAATTCCTTCAAATTTTGTTCTGAAAATTTGACAACATCTATGTTTGTAGTTAAAGATTAAATTAATTATTGAAAAATAAGTTCTTGGTTGTTTGTCAATAACAAATTTTTTTCGCTTTCAAATTGAAGCATTCAAGGAACTGTTTTCTTACATAAATTTCAGCTTAAAATCACCAATTAACCATTTATTTATATGAAACAAAAATCAAAAAGCATAATCAAACTTTTGACCAGAGGAAATACTGTTAAAGGAAAGGAAATTCATCTAGGTGATACTTACAGTAATTACTCTTCCTCTATCTCTCAGAACGCTCAATTGTCAAATCTCTAATACTACTCAAAGAGAGTTTAAAAAAAAAACTGGAACTACGAATACCATAATTCAGAAACCGAAAAATCAGAGAAACAGACGGAAATGTTCGTTTGATCATCTGTGGTTGCCTGAGCATTGTTCTTCAGTTACAATTGTTGTAAAAAATGTTAGTGTTTACAAATGAAATGTGAACGATTAAAAATTGCTTTCAGATGGTTTAAATGATTTATGTAATACAATGTATTAATGACATAAGTTTTGTTATACACTTATCTTTAAATGTTTTTCATTTCTATCTGTTTGCAAAAGGGAACTAATTGTTTTGGTTTTTAAGAAATCTCCGATAACAATTGCAGTAATCTCTGAACGACATACAATTACGCTGACTGACTCATCTTAATAGATTCTCTTAAATTTGATTCTAGACTAAAATTGATCCTAAAATACTCATATCGTCCAGATTTCACAACATACTGAATCTGATAATTAGCCGATAATACTCCAAGAGACTAATAGTACTAAAGAATCAATTTAACTGTTCTGAATGATTACTGAATACAACATTTCCATCAAAGTTATTCTTGAATAATTGCTAACCATAAACATTGAATTTTGATTTAATCAACTGAATCGCTTTCAAAGTAAAAAAAAAGGATAAGATCAAATGATAGCATGAGGGCCAATAATATCCAATGCATAACTGTATATGTTAATTGGATGGCAACGCTCTCTGCTGAGATATTTAATAGCATCAAAACTATGTAAATATTGTTCTCGAAAATAACTCAGTTTTGCCTGTCGATCGGTGAAGCATCGAACATCGGCCCAATTAAATTTAGGCATGTCAACTGTTTGGTGTAAAAGGAACCCAGTTGTTAGGAAGAATGAACGGAATCGTTCCGCTTCCTCCATCTCGGAAAGCTGAAATTATGAGATGTTAGGTTTTTAAAATTTGCCTAATTAACAAATTTGGTTATCCAAGGAAATGCGAAAATAACCTTTCTATTAATTACATTTTTTTTATGAATTTTCCAAAGTTGCCATAACATTTCCATTGTATCAGGCTGATCAGCGATGGCCGGAAACGTAGCAAGAAATGGTTCCGCCTTAAGTGCTATAATTAACAGAATAAATTAACATTATTCGGATTTTAAAATTTAGAAGTAATTATTGAATTAAATTAATTATTGAGAAAAAACTTCAACAAATAATAATTTTGTTACCTGAATTACTACAATTATCGCAATCTTTTGTCAAAAATTGACCCAACAGACGTCGATAGTAGAAAAACATTGGCAAAAATAGTTCATGACATAAAAAAATGTCTGGCAGAGAGCTGAAATTATTCGATAACTTTGGAAATTTTGCTTTTTAGATAAACATCGAAATTTATCAGAAAAATCATTGCCACCTTCCATTCTCATCACTTTCAAAAAGTAATAATCAGCTTACTCAACTTGATGAACGATGTTGTTGGGCACATCCGATACACCAAAAGTTATTTGAATTTGAGTATTTGCAAGGATTACTTCTAAAATTAAATTGATGTTTAATTTCTGTATTAGACGTCATAGAATTAAATTCCTAAAAGTTGTAATCTTAAACTTATCTCATTTAACGGAACTAACAACTTGAAATGTTCATTTCATTTTCATGCATTTTTTACAGTAACTTTCAACTGTTCCTCTTTTAATTGCTGAAATCAGTTCCTCATAGCTTATTATTATGCTTTATGAGTTTTGCTTGTATTAAAAGTTTTGATACCTTTTTTGTTAAAGAGGTTGCGGTTAAACAGCTTTGCGGTATAATTCCTGGAAATTTTTTTAAAAAAATAGATGAATTTTCTTGTATAAACAAAAAGTAAATCTTGTATAAATAAAGTAATTAATGTTTCGCTTTTTTTATTTTTATTTATTTATTTTTTTTGAAGAACAGTTTGCTAAAAATAATTCAAATCTGATTTATTTATTTGCAAAATTTTAATTTCATAACATAATTTGCCGAATAATGCTAGAGCAAACTAAAGAATAAATTCTGATCTCCAGAAAATAACTGGACATGAATTTCTGAAAATAATTAGATCTCCAGTCTCAAAAATACTTGTTTTTCATGCAGCAATGTCCATTTTCATCAATAATCGATAACATAGCACAGCCAAGTGATTGTTCAGACATTTCTCCTTCCTGTAATTAGTTTAATTTATTTGAATTTTTTACAAAATATATAATTGTTGATTAAATAAGTACGAGTTATTTTTTTTTTAATGAACTCAATTTTAGAAATGAAATCTGAAAGAAGTAATTTAAAAAAAAAAGCTTTCGGCATTTTCTTTTATTGTTCTCTTTAATTACTCCTTTGAAAATGCGGAAACAATTAAATCTTTCACTTACGTGATCAGTAAATACAATAGCAGCTTCCAGACATAGCATCACGCTTTTCTGTTTGTAATTCGAACGTACAATGAATGACGGATAACTGAGTGATATTTTCTGCATATCTTTCTTTAAAATTTTACTATGAATAATTTATCATTAAAAAATGTTTAGGTTTTTAATAGCAAGTAACCAATAGCATAAGAAAGATTAGCGATATTTAAGTATAGCATGGATTTCACTGATATCGGGATCATATCAATACTGATATCGAGATCATACCAATCAATCACTGATATACATAAATCCGCCGTTTGTTTCAAACGGCATAATTTAACTTTTCAGCTTTGAATTGATTTTTATTAACTGCTAATTTGCATAAACAATATTTACATATAACAATATTTTACCAAGAAGATTCAAGCTGGTGAATTTATAACAATGATTTTACCGTTGTAGAGAAAGTCCACGTTTGTGGGTGACGTGCACGCGTATGTGCTTTGATTGTATAGACATTACTCACCTGTAATTTGCTTTTTAATACCTCTATTTTTATATACATTATTCATATGCAAAAAACATTTAATGTTGCTACTACTGCACAATTATTAAGCTATCGGTTTCTTCAAAAGATCTTTCCTTCCCGTTAGTTCAATTGACTGATTTTTTGAGTTTAATTAAACAGCAATGAATATGAAAAGAAAATTATGAAAAATAACAAATTACAATTTGATATTCTTCTTCAGTACTTTTTATATCGAACAAATATGCTCGTACTAATCGACAGTGTACATCGATTGCATCTAAGTGCACTTTATCCAAACGAATAACTTTAATCATTTTACTGACTCGCACTCTTCTTTTCCTCAGCTATGAACAGACATTTCCAATTATTTCATATAATTTGAACATAGATTGGTAAGGAGTGAATAAATGTATTATATTAAATAATTTAAAGATCACCCGATCATCCTCATAGTTCCAGTAAATATCATGAAATGCATAATTCGATTTACTGAGACGTGGTGCCAGATAACATTTATATGTCAGATGATCACCTGAAAAAAAATCTATCAAATGCTAAAATGTGTTTCATTTTGTTTAAAGATAGTCGTTCTCCGACCATAGTGAAATGCTTATATCTGCATTAGCAGTTGTATTTGAAATGAAATTATTAAATATCTCACCGTAATTACTTGCTTTCTCAAGTGTGTCTAGTGCTGTTATAGGTTGAGAGAACGATTTCTGAAAATAATTTACGAACTATGAAATGAAAGGAACTGCCACAACTTCAGTCTTCCGAATGGTTTAATGATGAAAAATAGAAAATATACCGGGAGAGTAGTTTTTACAGTTTCTTGCTCAGATAGCTCCAAATCTTGTCTTGAAACTTTGCTGTGCTCAGAGCTAGATTCTTCAAGAATCTTAGTTTCGATATTATGTCCAATGTTTAAAGTTCCTGTTGGTGCAGCCATATCTGCGACATTTAGTTTATCGCGTTGCTTTTTTTTTTCCAAAGTTTCCGATTTTTCTGCAATACCTTTATTGCTGCTTGTTGAAAAAATGGATGCCATCGTTTTTGCTATAACGGTTCGCCGAGGTATTGGTAAAGGTTTGTCAGACTCTTTCGTTTCTTCTTCAGAGTATGTCAATTCTTTCGAAACAAATCCTTGATCATCGTTAGTATTTTCTGCTAGCCACTGGCCATCTTGTCTGAAAGAATAAGCGCTTATTGAGGACAGATGTGTTTATATAATAATTTTTCTATTTTTATAAGCATTTGTAAAAACAAGTAAAAACAAATTGAATAGTTGACATTTTCAATTTTCGCCATAACGAGTAGCGATAACTTGTGCTAATTCATTTTTCTTCAAAGTTAAATCCTTAGTTATCGCACTTTCTTGATCTTTCAGTCCACCGCTTAAAGTCCAAATAAACTATGAAATTATCAAATTTAAAAGTTTATTCAGACATAAGTTCCAGAGTTTTAACACTATGAAATTAAATCGAAAAGCTAAAGCGATGATTATTCATTAAAGGATAAACGATTCAAAGCTTTTCTCAATGTCTCGAAGAGTATGACTATTTACATTAGCACAAGCTCAGTTGAACAAACATTTTACAAGTTCGTCAAGTTTTATAAGACAACATTACTGGCTAGTTAAAACCAAACTATTCAAATAGTTCAGCTATGGATAGAATAAATCAATCAGATTACTGGTATTTTTTATATCATTTCTAGTTATTGGTCTCTGACAGTGGTCATTTTAAAAATTATAAAGATATCATCAATGCCTGACTCACTTTGGATTACTATTCTCTCTGCTCTTTTAATTCCTTTTAATTCCTCTCATTCTAAGTGATAACATTTGAAAAGAAGCTTAACCTTAAGTTCATATCATTTGTTCTGTTTCTTTCTTGCATAGTTGAATAATCAGAAGCATAGTCTCGATCTGATGATGAATCCGTCGATGAAATCTCTTCTTTTTCATTGTTGATCTCTCCCACTTGCGCCTTTTCTTCTCTGCAAATAAACGCAATTCTTTTATTTTCTATTTTTAGCATATTTTCAGTGGCATTCAGTAAAATCTTACCAAAATTTTACCTTATTCTTTTTGAAGGAAACATTTTCATGGAATCATTTTCCAGGGACATGGAAGTTCTTCCTGAACTCATCAACTCTGATAACTGATCCTGTAACAATTCTACCTAATAATGGTCGCTTTCCACATTCTAAATGAACACTGATAATTTTTGGATAATTTAATAATTTTGGTCATAAAAATATATGCAGTTTGGCTTAGATGTTTATTTTAAATAGAATTGTTACTGAATACCACAGTTTTTTGGAATGGAAATTTCATTTAATAAAAATTTTTCATGCAAATTTTATTTTTCCTAACTTTTACTGAAATTTTCTGTTGTAAGATTACATTTCATTGGAAATTTATAAGTTCAATACCAGAAGAAAATATATATTTAACTTACAGTCAGTTCTTCCAAATCTTTAAATGCATTTTCTTTTAGATGCTGTTCGCTCATACTTTTCATTCCTTCTATTTTGCGCTTGTATTTATCCATTTGTTCCCGTAAATCAGTACAATTTTGCAAAAACTGATGTTCATCAAATAACTTGCCATTCTTCTGTGATTTTCTTTGTTCACTCAACTTTTCCAACTTAACTTGAAATTCAAGGCTTTCAAAATTATGAAAGTATTCTTATTCAAAAGATTCATCTGAAGAACTTTCAGAAGAAAATAATCAAAAGAAACTACAACAATCTTACAAATTGTTCGCACTTTTATCGGTGTTCATTATTGTTTTGCTCTCTAAAACTGCACACAAAATAACAATTTTCTAACAGAATAAGATTAAGAGATTTGCGTTCACATTCTGCAATAGAAAATTAATCCAAAATTTAGAATGTTATTATGTTTACCTGCCTACGGAATTGTTGCAAATGTCCATGATGATTATCGAAGGATAAAAATTGAGTTAACATTGATGTTATATCAATCAGCAGATTGTCGTTGTGTCGTTTTCTCTTCTGAGAGACTTTTAATAATGAGTATTAGCAAGCGTAACCTTGACAACCTCTGTAAAGGTTTATATTCAGTATATGGTTTATATGCTTCATATATGCCTTGTAATTTTTATATCACACATAACTGATCGGTTTGGACTGAATCTGATGAATAAGCTCAAAACAGAATTAAAATTAGAATCACTGTTAATCAGTGATACTTCTTCTTGACATACATCTTTCGCACGCTGAATTCAATTATGCAAAGTTTTTCAATCCCACAACTTTCTATTACAAATTACTTTTATCTGTTATTTATAATTAAAGAAGATGAACAAAAATGTATATATAATAAAACATTATTTTAACACAGACTTTAACCAAACATATAAAAATTTATTAACATAATAAAGAATAATATCAGCAATTTAATCGAATTATAAATGAATTACTTCCTGGACATTTATTGTCACTAAGAATTCTGATGTCACCATATGGGGTTTCCTGATGGTAGCATGAAATATAGACTGAACATCAACATCTTATGGAAAAATATCGCAATAGCGACTTATTTTAATCTACACTGATAGTTATATCAGTAAAAGATAAGCTAACAGCATCTCAATTCTTATTATTCATCTATTTGTTTTGTCATAACTTTCCATATTCAGTCATTATTTTTGAAATATTATGGAGCAAAATTTAGCTTAGCTAAATTTTAAATTGTTATTGAATGACTGATTTTGCGAATTTCACAGTGATTAATTTACTATTATGAAATATTATTCACATACACTTTTCACTTTTTTATTTTATAAAGAGTTATTAGCAATGTTAGCTTATCTTCATTTCCTAATTGTTTCATCCATCAGTAATTATGGCTAGAATGACTTCAATTTAACAGCTTAAGTCTAAAGATCAATTTGATAAAAATAAATGTGAATTTGTTTTAGCGTTTCATAATATTATAAGTAATATTCATTTGAGATAGACAGAATGGGACACGTAGAATGTGATAAAAAATTCCAAGTTTTTTGAATTACCAAATAATTCAAATAATTCACCTTTAAATTTGCACTTAATTGAATTCCAAATAAAAACAATTCATTAAGCAACCACTAATAAATAGCTTTTTTATTGTAATTTATTATATTACTTTTAAAATTTGAATTCAGTCCCTTACATTCAGCAACTTGTCAGTAGTTTTTTGATAAGATTATTTTAAATTTTCAAATATCATTCTTCATTTCACATTTCTCATCTCTCCTTTGTCTGTGATTCTTCTTGTAATGACTCCTGATCCGGTATATGACTTCCGAGAAGAATTATATAAAACCATCCACCAATTAATGCACCGAGTATTGGAGCTATTATTGGCACTAAGAACCAACAACGCCATGGATGCCTAAATAAAATAAAATAAAATAAAAGATGCGGAATAATTTGATTTAACTTGATATAATGATAATTGGATACATTGAAATTAATGCTCAATATATTTGGAAACCTTCGAAATGCGTAAAAGGCACTTACGTGAAAACTTCTTTCCCGTAAATGAAATAACTGAATATTCGTGGTGCAAAATCTCTCGCTGGATTCAACGGATAACCGCAATTCACACCAAATCCGCAGCCAATAACAAGCAACGATATACCAAATAACAACGGATGGGCTGCGGATGGAATTTTATTTCGCTGATCAATAATTACTAACACGCAAAATGCAAGCAGACCTGTTCCAACAATCTAAATTTGTTTAATTTTTTTCTCCAAACAAATTATAGTTGATAAAAAGAAGGAAAACTTTGTTGAATTTTTTTCTTTCTTTCCATCGGTTCATTAAAGACTGCTTGCTGCTTGCTTTTATGATCGCTTTAAAGTATGGCATACCTGATCCAAGTATGTGGATAAGGGAGACATATATGGTTGCGGATATGTCGCAAAGATGCCGGCTGTCCCATTTGGACCCGATACCGCTCTTATTCCACCATCGTAATTGTTTATTGCATCTACAAATTTTGCAATGTTTTTCGTAGTTGAGAACGATGAAATCATAATAAACAGAAAACATTATTTGCATGCTATTAAAGAATGCATCAGGAAACGACGAATAACTTATGCCATGCAATCACTATGCAAATAATTTCTGGGAAAAATTTTTTTGTCCGACAAACATACCACGATAAATAACATAGGTTGCTGCAGCACCAAAGAATGCACCGATATGTTGAGCAATGATATATATCGGTAAGGATATAATGTCTAACATACCCATCGAGAAGAATAGTACTGATATCGCCGGGTTCAAATGTCCACCTAATGCCAGAAAAAAGAGCAGAAACTTCAGAATTTGAATAATCATTACACTTTATCTTTTTTTCCACTCATATCATATCTGTTATCATATAATAAAAGTATGGAATTGATAAACATATCTTGAAAAAGGGAAATGTTAGCAGTTATTTCTACTTCGTTCATATTTTCCATATATTTTTGAATATTGGCTCTCTTCCTCTTATTGTCCATTTTTTATTTATTTTCAATTTGTTGTGATTTTTTTTCTAAGCTATGAAAATAGTAAAAAACAAATTAATTAGTAAATGAAAATTAAATAAGTAGAAAAAATTTTGCCTGAGTTACTAGAATTTGCATCTTTCTTTTAAAATATTATTATATCTAAACTTACTAATACATACTTTTCCAGACGAAATTTGATGAATTTAAGCTATGAATAAATGCTTACCTGAAATATGCGATACAGATGTAACGGATATTGTTATAGCAAAACCCCATCCGACATTTATTTGAACCCATGTGTTGATAGTACCGTGAGGCAAATGCAATTGTGCAATAATGCTTGTTCCAATAAACTAAAATTTTTCATAGCATTATAATCTAATAAACTTTATTTTTAAATCTATTAATAACAAAAAAAGACAATTTGTAACGCATTGTTATCAACTGATAATAATCGTAATCAGAAGTTATAAGACTGATACAAAAGTCACTTTGTATTTTATACATTCAAATTTGTTGTTTTGTATATCCCTGAACAGATGCGACGGTGTTTTAGATCATTTAATGCTGGTTTCTTGTTTTAAGCTATTCTTTTCTTAATAATCTATCTTTATTGTTTATTTTACTTTATTTCAGGATAAGATAAGGATATATTATTTGTGAGGAATATGAGAGCTTTGAAGATGAAAGGCTCAATGAATGTAGTGACCAACTGAAATAGTTGATGCAGTTGCTAAAATGTGGATTTCTTTTCTATAGGAAGGAATTTTCTTATTTTATTATTAGCAAAAAGAGATGTGTTAAAGTTTAATTACAATGATTTGAAAATAACCGTCAAAAGTGCAGTGCCTTTGTGTCAATATAATAATATAAACATTGGTTGATCATTCAGTACAGTATGCATTCATTCTAATGATATCACAATAAATGGTAGAAGTCATTTAAAAGTTTTCCGAAAGAGATTAGTGATTAACAAAAGATATTAATAATTTTATTGACTTCAATTAAAAACCCTTCTGATTTAAAAAATTCGGTGCAAAGGATTTTTTTTTTACTTTTTTCAACCTTTTTTAACCATTTTTTTAACTTGCAATGCAAAAAACTTTTGGAGAATATTTTCAGCCGAAGTATATATCCAAGCTTACCAAAAGAATAAATGTACCGACAGCTTCCGCTAATGCGTTTCTTAGCAATTTGGATTTGATCTGAATGACACTCCGAATCATTTCGGGTAAATTTGGCAACTTGAACCACTCATTATTTCTAGTTGTATTTGAAGCACTCATCACTTTTAGTTGATTATTAATATACCTGAAGTCTTTCTGATTATTTCATTCAGTGAAAACAAAAATAATACAACGATTGAAGCACTACTAGAAACCTATGCTCATAGTCTAATCTTATGAAGACGATAAATTAGAAAGCTGTTTTGGAAACATCTTAAATGAGAACATAATACTGAAATAATATCCTTTAGTTGACAACTGGGACAAACGTCTTTATTGCTAATAAATCTTGATTTCATGGCTCTCCAGGCACTCCTATCTCACCTACTTTAAGCTAATTAATTCGTTGATTGGGCTCCTGCGTAATATATCTGCTAATTTCGATTAATTTGATTTCATTTGAAACCTCGCGCTGCATTAGCATATATACTTTTATAACTCATCAGCCACAATTTAGCAGTTTTACACAATATGACACGTCCAATGGTACAACTTAAAGAAAATACACTGACGTTGATGAAAGCGCACAAAGTGAAACTACCAATTGCAGTCGTCAAAAAAAACTTATTAAGGTCACTTATCTATTATAATGATATTTATGTTAATAAGTTCAGTCTATAATTACATGCAAATTAAACCGGTAGCTACAAAACTGAATTGTGAAATTGATTGCAATCGATGATCAGTAATTCTGATTTCCCATTGTCTGGCCAAACATTTTACTCATTGTTTATTGCTGTAAATTAATTAATGGTTAATGATTGCAATGATAACTTACAACTTTTCATCAATAAAAAAATGTTGAGGGACTCACCAAAAAATCTTATTAATTTCTATTTTAAGTTTATTACACTTCTTTTTCCAAAATGCTCCAATTGTCACTGGTCTGACAGAAAAATATTATGAATAGTTCGTGTTATTTTCTCTTTCAGTACAATTCGTTCAACATCATTTATAACTTAACGAAATCTTAATTATTCTTTGTTGATTTGTGAAATAATTCATTGCTATTAGTTCATAGCTAATTTATTCTAAAATTGTTTCGAACTTATTAATTATATCAGTTTTTTCTGACTTTCATTTTCCAAATGTATTGATCACTCTCGAATTAAATGCATTCGTTTTTTTTTTTTTTTTGATCTGAATAATCACATTAAATCACAGTAGAAGTAGTGACAAGTCCCAGTTCCAGTTTTGTTAAAAACAAATGCGACCGCTCAACTTGATGAAATGATTACCTTTTTTTGAAATGACAGCTGTATTCCTCTCTTCATTATAAAGCACGCAATCTTATAGCTGCAAAAGGTAGGTGATGTGATGCGATCAGAAGTGCTTTGGAAGAATAATTTTGCATGATAAATATTTCCTTTTGTTGTAAAGAAACGATTTTGTGGAGCGTTTAAATTCACTTTAGAAAATGAATACAAGAATAGCGCTTTTAATATATTTTTTGTAGTTGTGATGACTTACCTTAGCAGTTTGTCACATGACATCAGTCAACAACAGAAAAGAAGTTAACTTTTCAATTAACACATCTATATTTGCAGTAATTTTGCATAAATTTTGTTGGAAGCAATGAGAGAAGGATCGCCTATGTTCATGTTCTCAAAATAAGCTATCTCTTTGCATATATATATGTTATTATTTCTTGAAAATTGTCTTAAATTGTAACTTTAAACCGATAAACTATTAGTAATTAAAAAGAATATAGATCCGTCGAACTATTCATGTTAACTTTAATTGATACTTCGTATTTTTCCAGTATGATATTACTTACATTTACGATTTTTGCTCTCTCTTCCACTGAATGTGTTATTTATCATGCATTCTAGCTTTAAATTATACTCCATACCTTTTTAAATTCTTCCTTTTAACAGTTTACTCGTTTTATATAATTTAATTTATTTATAAATTTAAGAATTACAAAATCACCAGCATCGTTTTATCGAGATTTCCCAAATGCACTTGCACCTTCTCTTCGAAAATTTAAACTTTTACAACCTTAATTTTTAAATGTATATATAATTTGTTATAATTATTGAAAATAATTGTTCTCTCATTTACTTTATTTTCAGATTATCTAATTTTCCAATAATGAGTGGACATGGTTTGACTGACAAATTAAAATATTCACATAATAGCAAAAGTAATGAATAAATTGACTAGTAAAGTTTGTTTAGAGATTGATTCTGCTATTTAAATTGATAAAATACATGCACTAACTCCTTAAAGTCAGTATATATTCAAAATTTGTTTCGATTGACCTAGAAAAAAGAAACGAAGAGAATAGAAATTTATTTTTAGAATGGAAATGATCAGCATTCTCCTGCATTTAACACTCAAATAAATCAAATGCTAGGAAATACCTGTCGCATTCGGAAAGACTTAAAAGGCTGTTGGTGGAGAAGTAAATATCAGGTCAAACTTGAATTAATGAATTTTGATAATCTGTTGTTATTTAAGAATTACGCAGTGGCATATACAAGGAGTGAAGTATCGATATCGATTCTGAATTCAAATGATCAATGTTATGTCAGATCATAATGACACGTTGTAATTTGAAAATTTTTGCAACTCTGAGAAATATATTTTAACTGCTTCTCAGAATCACTAGAATGGCGTTACAGCGTTCAGCACGCACTTTCAATAATTCTTGCAATATTTCATCAATTGATTTAATAAATACTAAATACTTACTTGATTGATAATACTAAAAGCTTAATGTAATGCTCTTCTTCTGCAGCCTGCAAGCGATGCAAGCATCAGTATAATAGTAGCAAAAGAGAAGTATATTCTCTCGTAGATTTTTTGAGTCGTGTAAGTACATTAAACTCACATTGACCTCAAGACTGCTTTGGTACTGTCACGTTAGGGAAAGTTATCAATTGAACAAAATTATCTATAAATGATAACTGACAAGTGAGTTGTTGACAAAAATAAATAACGCACTGATGCCGAATTTTGAAATTGGTGTGATCGTTGAACAATTCATGAAAATTCTGGGTGTATGAATCATCGGCGTTGATATTTGCCTTTCCACTAATATTTCACATATGTGCTCTTCTCGTATGGTTCAACACTTTCTTCTTTTCAACGTTTGAGGATAACGAAAAGGATAATTACTAATTCGGTAAACGTTAGTTGAGGCGGTGAAATGCCATAGTATGACAGTTCCGTTCTAACCAAAAGTCTCCTTTCTTTTGTTACATTTATATATTTTATGATGCCATGGTCTTCAAAGTTGTATTTTATTTTAAATTCGACTTCATTAAAATAAATGAGTATAATTAATTAATTATTTGTCTTTTCATTTGTCTAATATATTCAGTTACATCTAACCTAACTCATTTTACACAGTTATCTTTCAGCTGTCTCTCTCCCTCTCTCTCTCTCTCTCTCTCTCTCTCTTCATTCAAATGCAACCTCATTACGATGGGTAACTGGTTTACTAAAAAATCGGAGATATAATTATGTGGCTAGTGGAAAAAAGACAAAAATTGTTACAAATACTAAGGATGCTTTTGGTGCGATCAAACCTGGTTAGCATACTGTCCTTTCTTTAAAAAGTCAAATTTAAAAATTAATTAAACATAATTATTGTAAGTCATTCGAAATAATTCCCAATCAGCATACTCAATTGCTACCTATTTTCGAAAATTTTTAGAAGTTTTTGCTCTTTGCTGCATCATTTTTTGACGAAACTTTAAGTTCATTGTAGTGATCACAACAATGAATTATAGTTTTTTGCAACCCTTTTATTGGTTACAATTATGTTATGTATCGTTGATAAAGTTGGAGAAATATTATTTTTGTAACGCAAATAATCTTTCAGTTATTTGCACTTTATCATGCATATTATAATTCTATAATGAATTGAATACTTAGCAAATAATTATATAACAATAAACTTCACATTTGCTTGAGATTTTTCGTTTGTTTATGCTAATTTTGCTGCTTTTTCTAAATCTTTGTTTAATGAAATTTTTTATTTAGGTAAATTTGTTTACTTACTTCAAATGATCACTGTTTGTCAATGTTCAGGTAATCATATATTCGTTCATGGAATGGGTGCAACACCTACCTACATTACTGTTGGAAGGTTTATGTGATTATGCGGAGGCTAATGATTTGAAACAATTGACATTACATCATTTACATTTGGAAGGACCAACTAACTAGACTCAACCTAATTTCAAAGGTAACGGAAGGCGCTCTTTTAATTTTTGCATAAAAGCATTTTTTGTTAGTTCTTTTCAACAAATTCAACTGAAACAAACCCTTCAGATCGCATTCGATCAGATTCTTTATTTACTGGCTCAAATTTAAGGGAAGCAGTTAATGAAGGTTTGTTTTTCAGTTTTCAGGAAATAGTATTTATGGAAAAAGACAATTTATTTTGTATGATATTTGTGTCAATTTTTTTTACTCAAACGGTTTAAAATCCTTTAATCACTCTGTCGTAAATTTTTAGAAGGTTTTTTTTCAGAATATCTTGAAAATTCTAGAATTCAAATTTTAAAGTATATCCATTAATGAAAAAGAGAAATGAAGGACTGACCAAGTTTTTAGGTCTAGCCGATTTCATTTCAGTGTTTCTACATGAAGTGCCTTTGCTTTTCTGAAGTAGAGCAGTTAAATTCAACGCTGTTTTGCTAACCGTAGCCTATTCTGATTATTTATTTTATTAAAATGAACGAGAGGTCAGGAACAATATTCCACCAACTTTAATGATTTTGATTTTTACATAGATTCAGATCCTTCCAGATATCTCTGCCAGATGATTCTGGCTAACTGTACCTTAGGTACCAATGTGGATGCTACTCGTGCTGCTATCACTCATGTGGATCATGTCATTGGTATGTTTCCTCATTCTTTAAGAAATTATTAACAAAAAAAAAAGAAATATAACTAATCAAAACAACCAAAATTATTTTCTGCATCATTTCTCTTAGATTAAACTCTCTGTCAATTGTTTAAATTTCAGCAATATCAAACAAAACATGCCACGCACATTTGGTGATTCAATTATTCATCATAATGATATTGATATTGTTATTGAAATGGATTATCCTTTATATAAAAGAAAAAATACAGAAGCCGGATCACTTCAAGAAAGAAAAATTGGTGAAATTATCGCAAATAATCTTGTAGACAATGGCGCTACATTACAGATTGGTTAATTTCCCACCAGTTTCAAACATTGTGAAATGAAATTTTGCTTTTAATTTTGTTACTCCTTTACTTCTTCTATCAAATAGCATAAGCAACGTGGATTTTAAAGATCATTCTGTTCCAGCCTAGATACATATAAGCTGGTTTGATAATTTTCAAAGAAACAGAAGTTAAGAAATAAATTCAACGCAAAAATGGAAAAGTAAACAAAGAGAGAAAAAGAAAATGGAAAGAAACGAAATACATGCTATCACTCCAGATAGTTTAGCTGTTTTGAACTTGAATTCTGATGATCTAATGTAGGAGTAATGAATTCATGATAATGAATAGATAATTGAATAGATAATCTCCTTCATGCAACTCCCCGACTAATATTAATAACATAAATGAAGACATCATTTCAGGCATTGGCGCAATTTCGGATGCTACTTTAGCTTCTTTGGTTAATCATAAAGATCTCGGGATTCATACCGAAATGCTTTCAGATGGAGTACTGAAACTTATTGATTGTAATGCAATCACAAATTTGAAAAAGACCATATTTCCAGGAAAAGTTAGTTGTCGCTACATTTACTTCTTATCATATCGAATGTTATGTGTTCATTGATTTTTTTCTCTAATGATAGATTGTGACTTCATTCATTTACGGTTCTGACAAACTTTATCACTTCGTGGATGGCAATCCCGATATATTATGCGGTGATGAGGCTTGTAAACGACCCAATAACAATACGAATGATGCCGAAAATGACCGCTATCAATTCGGCTGTTGAAATTGATTTAATTGCCAAGGTAATAAGGATGTTTGCTTTATAAGAGTGAAGGCTATCATTCAGCTATATTTTTTTTTTGATTCACAAAATTAATGAATTTTAATAAAAATTCTTATGAGCTCACTGATCTGATACTATGTTTTCCGTCTTATATAGGAATCTGTCGAAAATTGCTTCAGTGGTGGCAGATTCTGTTAGGAATTGGTGGCCAAGTGCATTTTATAAGAGGAGCCGCAATAGGAAATGATGGCCTTGGGAAGCCTATAATTGCAATTACATCCACAATTAGAAAAGGTCAAAGCAAGATCGTACCATACATTAATGAAGTAAGCATTACTTAATAATTTTAGTGAGTCATTACAAACGTTTAATTTAACTTTTTCTTGAGTTCACCTTCAACAGGGAGCAGGAGTTGTGACATCACGAGCTCACGTACATTACGTGGTCACTGAATACGGTATAGCTCAATTATGGGGTAAAAATATGCCACAACGGGCATATGAACTGATAAGGATTTCACATCCAAGTCAACGGGAGAAACTGGAAAAAGCAGCGTTCGAAAGGATGAAAGTAATGCCATCATTGGATTAATCTGTTCTTAAAAATCGGTTATCTATCACTATCAGAAATTACAACAGATTTTTTAGTCACCTTCAGATGACAGCCATTTTTATGGATTCAATAGTAACTTGATGTTTGACAACCATTCCGTATGCACTTCAACTTTCTCTGTATTATATGAAAAAGATATATTGGAACATAGGGAGTTGTAATGTTATAATAATTTTACCAACTTATCTTATTTTAATCTCTATTCCGGTGATACTATAACACTTGAAATATACGAAATAAACAACAATTTGAAGTGCCTCACTTTTCTCGTAACTACAGCCACTTTACTTTTAGAGTTCAATTATAATTGAAAAGGTTGGGACATTCTTTTGATTTGCTTGATATGATCTTTATTTCGCCATATGCTTTAATTGAGACAGAAAAAGGATGAAATTGGAATTAAATAGAAATAATTATGTCCTAGGATTACTGAGAATTCAACAAGCTACAAAAGAAGGAACCAAATTAGTACAGATTTTTGAAACGAAATAAGTTAGGAGTTTTCCGGTTATTAACTGACCTTTCTTACAAATGTATCAATTATAAATTCCCCTTAAAAGTGCTTTAGATATGACAAGATTGAATTTTGAATAATTTTGAATAGTAATAATTTTATAAATGATGAATATTAGAAGGAAAAGTGGAACAGAATCCGAAACATTTAAATTAAAAATGAAATATTGAGCGTTGAAGTGAGCGAAACTAAGCTTTTTTTTTTAATATCAACAAATAAAGAATTGTGCTTTATTTGTTGATAAACAAAGCATTGTGATTTATGCGACATTAGCGCCACACTTGCCAAATTCTTCCATTTGCTTAAAATAATTTTTTTAGCAAAGGCACAACCATTCAGTTCGCCATGTTTTATAAACTGCATTAAATCAATTTGTCTTTTCTTTTTCCGCACTGTCGTTGCAGTGGACCACCCTGCTAACCGGAACTATGAATGAGTAATCCAGAAGTAGGCATACATACATCCCTTTCGTGATGTATTGCAGCCATGTCACTCTTTTATTAACTACCGATGCTATTGATTATACACTCTCACATTTGAAATTATGAAGACATAATGGACTACCGCGCGTTCCGCCGTTCTCATTCCGCGAGGTCTTCTTTCCACCATGTAAATGTGATATTCCTTTCTTCTTCGTGATTATTGAGGATATTAAGGACTCTTCTGTTGCTTTTGTTGTTGTTGACCATTTACTTACTTATTAGGTCATCTTGTCACATCATTAATTTTACGATCGAAGTTATTTATTCCGTTGAAAGAGATGAACATAAGAAGATGTGTTCACGTGTAAAATACATATTCAGATATAACTGATTATGCATTTTACACTTCTTACACAAAATTTAATGACTTTAATAACTAACTTCAAGATCATCGGACCATCACTTAGTACAATAATATGTTTTTAGGTAAAACATATTTGTCAGCGTTTTTCTTTTCTCTGCTGTTTTCAAGTTTATGAAACGTATCACACGTTTGCAACGCGATATTTTCAGTGAAAGAGAAGCATCGACGCAAGAGAGTAAACAATTGATCTTTTCCATTAACTGAAGCTCAGAATATGGACCTGCAATTCTTATTCTTTGCTCTTCTTAGTTGTCTCCTATGATTTTTAACCTTTCTTTCAATTTTTTCTGCAAAATTAATCACTGATCTTTCCCAGTCTGATATATACAAAATCTATTCGATCACACCCACTATACCCATTTCAACTTTTTTCTGCATTTTCTCATTTTTCGAAATGCTTTTTCCCTTTTTGTTCAAAAAAGATACATACAGAATTGATTGGCCATAAAAGTAGAAAATTTATTTCAGGCAGAAGCAGCCGTAATCGATAGCACTGCGCCACACAATACTTACGTATTTCCTTTATGCCCTTACTTATAAATGCATATGTCCTTTGAAGCTAATTTAAATAAAATTGAATAAGTAACCGTGTGGTTGGGTTAATTAATTCAAATAAAGTTGAATAACGTAACTGGTGTGGTTGTTATTAACATAATGTCACTTAATATGAATCTCTTGAATCGCTTCCTTCCTGTCTCGCGTGGAAGACCATTTTCAACTTCTTTTGCGAAACCTCGGTCGATAGGTGGCAGTTTGGAAGGACGTGAGGTCACTTATCCGATCGCAGGCAAAAAGCCAAAACTTGTGAAACATTGCAGGGAAGCTGTTTCCGTTGTTAAAAGTGGTAAATTAATATTCTTTTTGTTAAGAAATTTCCTGATTATCTTTTTTAGAGCATAATTTGTGACTGTAATTATAAACATAGTATAACAAGATTCGGTCAATGCTGGAAAATACCGGTTAATTAAGATTAACAGATTTCGTGGTGGCGAATTCTCGACATGTAGAAAAGATAATACAAAATGTTAATTGGGTGATATTTTGAGGCTTAAAATAATTTGCAATTCACTGTGTAATTTTTTTGTTCTTAGCGATGGTTCTTTAATGCGTCTTCTGCGCTTTAGTTATGTTTGAAAAAAACCGTACTACTCGGGGCCCCGCATTGCTTTAAAATTAGATTTATTATTCGAAATATGTCATCTTGTATTAGGCGACAGTTGGCAGTTTTCGATGATATATGCAATTCAAAACGATTTTGAGAACTTTCTACTAACGATTAAGTCAACATTTCAATATACATGTTGTGTCAACACAGTAACTGTGATATCAGTAAACAGTTAAATCAGAATTGGAAAAGAGGTGAAATCAATCTAAATGACAATATGAGATATCTTTTAGGATCTCATCTATTTGTACACGGTATCGCAGCAACACCAACACCACTTCTGGAGGGTCTCTGTGAGCATGTCAAGGCAAATAATTTTAATAAAATAACTTTACATCATATGCATCTGGAAGGTCATACTCCATGGTTAGCTGTTGATGTTAGAGGTGAGTATTTCTCTGCAGTTTTCTTACGACGATTGAAACATTCTTTTTTCGCATTATCTCTTTTAAAGTTATTTATTCCATCATATAGCAGTGCCTTTCAAAATATCATATTTGTCATTACTAATTCCATATTTTGACTTCTTTCTCTGTTTTAGATCGTATCCGCTCTAATTCTTTATTCACTGGACACAATTTGAGGGATGCTGTTAATGATGGTAAGTTTTATGTAAACATTTGATTCATCCCATCCAGTAATTTAAATTACTTTATTAAACTATAATTCAGGGACAGCTGATTTCAATTCAATTTTTCTCCACGAAATTCCATTGTTGTTTCGGTCAGGAACGATTCATCTAAATGCCGCATTAATTACGGTTAGTTTAGTGGAAAGACACTATATATATTAAAGCCATGAATTTATTATTTTATCTTTCTCACTTACTAACTTTTGCTTGGATTGAATTCATTGGCGCGATAAGTCTTCTCAAGACAATTTAATTTGTGGTAAGACTTCATTATATTCAGCCTGATTTCTAATTGGCACTTTTTTCAGGTTTCACCACCTGATTCTAAAGGTTATTGCACACTAGGAACTGGTGCTGACTCTACTCGTGCTGCCGTAACATTAGCAGATTTCGTTATTGGTTTGTTTTATAAAGTTTTCAATTTTCATTTTTTTTTCGAAGAAATGGCAGTTCAGAGGAATGTTTATTTTCAGCAATTTGTAACAAGAACATGCCACGCACGTTCGGTGATACGGTGATCCATGAAAGTCACATCGATTTTATGGTTGAAAATGACTTCGCACTTCATGAACGCAAATTTAGTGCAAAAACATCGGAAGTAGAAAAAAAAATTGGTCAATTAATTGCTAACGAACTAGTTTCCAATGGCGCCACACTTCAAATGGGTCTGTTGATTTTCCTGAATTTATCAGCAGGTTTTTTTCTACACATATATATCCATTTGGTGTACTTTTCTAAAAAAAGTCTTTTATGTAATTTCACAACTATATTAGCTGCAGAAATTTAATAAATATTTTGTATGACTGAAGTCTTTATAACATTGTTGTCGATGTTCCTAAAGCATTAGGTGCAATTGTCTCAATTTCATAATGTAACTGGATATGTGTACTATCCTTTTAGTATTGCCAAAATGACTAGTCTTTTTTTCTTCGTTTTTTTTGCAATCTTTTAGACACTACTTTATAAAATATAAACACATAAGTTGTTGTTTGACAACTTAATATTAGTTAAATAGATGTGACGTATTCAAAATGATTGTTTTAGGAATCGGCGCTGTACCAGATGCTGCTTTGGACGCATTAGGCAATCATAAAAATCTCGGAATCCATACAGAAATGTTCTCAGATGGTGTTTTGAAACTTGTAGAGTGTAATGCCATAACTAATGCTAAAAAAAGTCTTCATCCAGGAAAAGTTAGTCTGTATTTTATTCGATTAGACTAGAAATCATTTTATTTTTTTAATGAGTATTACCGCCACTTATTGCATTTTTTTCAATTTTAGTCCTTAGTTTTTGCAGTTATCCTTCAATTCATGCCACATATTCTTTGTAAATACAAGTATCAGTAAACATTGCAGATGGTAGTATCATTTGTTTATGGTTCCAAAAAATTGTATTCTTTCCTGAATGATAATCCTTTCGTATTTTTTGGTGATGTGGCTTGGGTAAATGATCCATCGATCGTGAAAACTATGCCAAAAATGACTGCAATAAACTCAGCAGTAGAGATTGATCTTACGGGCCAAGGTTATCATTCTTCTAATTATTTCATTTGATTATGGTATTCTTTACTAATTTGAAAAAAAAAAAAACTAGTTTAAATGTACTAATGTAGTAAATGTAAATGTATGTGTAGTAAATGTGTAGTAAAAATGTAGTAAATGTACTAGGAGGTATTTTTTTCTTGTATTGTGATAGAAGATTGAATATGGATCATCTAAATATGTAACCGCAAGAAATTAATTAATTATCTAAATTGTAGCTTTTATTTGTTTATTAGAAATTCTTTTAAGGAAGGTATCTAATCTGATTGATTTACAGTTGCTTCTGATTCTGTCGGTTCTCGATTCCTTTCCGGTTTTGGTGGACAAGTAGACTTCATTCGTGGTGCAGCTCTTAGTGTCGATGGACTTGGAAAGCCCATTATTGCCCTTTCTTCTTCAACAAAAAAAGGAGAATCGAAAATTGTCCCTTATCTCAATAAGGTGCAAAGAATTACTTATTTCTTATATATCATATGTTTTTTATTTAATCATAAATTAAATATTTACATCATTTAATCATTATATATAATTAAAATGACTCAATAAATTTTTCTTTCTTCTATTGTCATGCAGTAATTTTCAGGGAGCAGGAGTTGTGACATCACGAGCTCACGTACATTACGTGGTCACTGAATACGGTATAGCTCAATTATGGGGTAAAAATATGCGACAACGGGCATATGAACTGATAAGGATTTCACATCCAAGTCAACGGGAGAAACTGGAAAAAGCAGCGTTCGAAAGGATGAAAGTAATGCCATCATTGGATTAATCTGTTCTTAAAAATCGGTTATCTATCACTATCAGAAATTACAACAGATTTTTTAGTCACCTTCAGATGACAGCCATTTTTATGGATTCAATAGTAACTTGATGTTTGACAACCATTCCGTATGCACTTCAACTTTCTCTGTATTATATGAAAAAGATATATTGGAACATAGGGAGTTGTAATGTTATAATAATTTTACCAACTTATCTTATTTTAATCTCTATTCCGGTGATACTATAACACTTGAAATATACGAAATAAACAACAATTTGAAGTGCCTCACTTTTCTCGTAACTACAGCCACTTTACTTTTAGAGTTCAATTATAATTGAAAAGGTTGGGACATTCTTTTGATTTGCTTGATATGATCTTTATTTCGCCATATGCTTTAATTGAGACAGAAAAAGGATGAAATTGGAATTAAATAGAAATAATTATGTCCTAGGATTACTGAGAATTCAACAAGCTACAAAAGAAGGAACCAAATTAGTACAGATTTTTGAAACGAAATAAGTTAGGAGTTTTCCGGTTATTAACTGACCTTTCTTACAAATGTATCAATTATAAATTCCCCTTAAAAGTGCTTTAGATATGACAAGATTGAATTTTGAGTAGTAATAATTTTATAAATGATGAATATTAGAAGGAAAAGTGGAACAGAATCCGAAACATTTAAATTAAAAATGAAATATTGAGCGTTGAAGTGAGCGAAACTAAGCTTTTTTTTTTAATATCAACAAATAAAGAATTGTGCTTTATTTGTTGATAAACAAAGCATTGTGATTTATGCGACATTAGCGCCACACTTGCCAAATTCTTCCATTTGCTTAAAATAATTTTTTTATCAAAGGCACATTTGTTGATCATTTACTTAAATACTAGGTCATCTTGTGACATCATTAACTTTTCGACAGATATGCGAAGAGATGAATACAAAAAAATTGTTATTCACATGTAGAATACATGTACCCCTCAAGTTATGATGCATTGTGTCACATGTATTTGCATTGAGAGAGGAGTGGTTCTTTAACCATAGCTATTCTTTCTAGTAGGTTTTTGATGTATCATTAATTATTGCAGTTACTGCCAAGCTTACATTATTTTAAGCATTAGTATTTTAAAACATTGATTTATTCATTTACTTAAAATGATTAAATAGTAGAAAATATTGAAAAAATTATGATTGGTTTAGCTGTTTCATAATGGATATTATGAACAATATCGATGATTATTCGTCTTGAGAGAATAATCAAATTTTGGTACTATGTAGCATTTCCGATGTGTACTTGGACCCTTATATACTATGATTAATTCGGTATGAATAGAAAGTTACT